TATAGTAAATTTGCATTAAGTTCAACTTAATTAAAACATGCCAAAAATCGCTTCAGCGGTTATGATAAATTTTTGCTCCAATAAGATAGATAAAACTATTTGAAGCCTTGATTTCTTTTGGGGTTTTTGCTAATATTCCTTCTGCCCAACTTCCACTTTATGCACTGGGCAGTGCCATCATTTTCTCCGGATGGCTCCGATTACATTACACACTCACTTTAATTTTGCCCAATAAGCAAAGCGTTGTGGTCTCGAATTAACAAGGAAGAGTCGACGTTTAGCAGTGGATGGTCACAGGTTCCAGAATTTTTACTTTTTCAAATTTTGACTGTTCGAAATATTGAAAAAAATCAAAATTTTATGTTTTTATCTATCATATTTTGTTATATAAATGTCGATTTTCTCGAATCTTCGGTAAATACAAAAGCAACAATGCTTTCGTAAAGTTATGTTGTTCTTACAGTAACAATTTTTTCGATAGGCTCGCCTTACTATTGGTAAATTCTTGGGCCTCTAGTCCCCAGGGGTTATCATCTTCGGTGCTGTGTTTGCTGGGATTTCGTATTGTGCGTTGAGCACACACTCACGACGTACGCACAGGCAGTAGGAGCCTACAAATGTGAAGTGCGGCTTGCGATGGTTCGTGCAAACGATTGAGGGCGTTCCAGTGACGCTTTGCATGCTGAGCTGCCATTTATTGCCACTAGAGTCAGACTTTTATTATTGATTGTTGTTTTATCACTGGCTTGTGCTTATTACTGTAGTTATGCTTTTGTTGTTTTAGTAACATTTTAATATTGTATTCGTGTGTGCATATTGTTGTTGTACGAGTTGTCCTAAATATAACCATCATAATTTTGTTTGCATACAAATATGCATAATTGTTAGTGATAATAAAGAGACGAATTCATCGCCAATCTTACAGCACGATTTTAACCCAAAGGCATTTAGCCATTAAGCATTCAGATACTATTTAAAAACATACAATAGGGCTACAACCCCAAAAGTATGCAACGAAACTTAATATTACGCTTGTTTGCTCTTGAAATCCCTTTAATGATTTTCTCCTTCTGTCGTGTTCAAACATTTTACTTTTTCTATTATTACAAATATAAAATTTAAGTAATTTGCCACTAACGCGGATTAAATATTTGTTGTAGCTGTTGCATATATTTGAGATTTTTTTTATCATACAGTTGCGAGTATAACCTGCAGAGCTAAGCCCGTCAAGTGCTTGAATAACTTTCGCATACACCCCACAATCTCCATAACTATCCGCAGCCGCCACGTTGATCACAATTCCCTAGCTGCTATCCTGTAAACCTCATTGTGGTGCTGCACTGCAGTGCTTGTCGACTTCGCTGCTGTTAATTCTTCCTTTCATCCGCCCGTCAAGCGACCGACACTCAGTTTTGCAACGCATATAGTTCCATTTTTGTATGAATACATTGTACATGCATACACACGTACATACATATGCATCGGTGTATGTATGTATGTACACAAATACATACGTATATATATATAAATGAGTTTGCCAGCCCTTCCGCCCATTCGTCTAATTAAATTTTTGCAGCATTTCTGCAGCAAACTGCTGCTGATATTCTGTACTTTCCACAATTTTTACTATTTTCGAAGCTTTTGTTCTTAAATTGTGTACCTCGCAACGCTTCTGCCGCCACACCGTCACTACAACTTTTCAATAACTTTTCGAGTGTGTACAGCCAACTTCCGGAGCTCCCCCTTCTACAACTTTCTAAAGTTGAAAGGAAAAAAAAGGAAACAACAACGAAATGAATTCGAAGTGGTAACGAAGCCATTGGGAATTTATTTTACGTACAAAATGTGAAAAAATACAGTGTGATAATGTAAATATGTACATATGCGAATATTTAATATGAAATATTGTTTTTTATTTTAAAGAAATAATTATTTTTCTTCTCACATTTTTCGCCTTACTTTTTTTAAATGAAGCAGTAAATATTCATCAGAAGTGTCGTTAAAGCATATTTTTTGCAATTTAAAATACAAAAATAATGAGCGAAAATAAGAGAGAGAGAGAGAGACAGAGAGAAAATGAAACACTAAATATCTAAGTGGAGTGTTTGAAAGGCAATATAAATAAGCGCATTCTTATGTACATACGAGTATATTTCTAGGTATATACGTGTGCTTATAAGTGTGTCTGTTAATTTCAAGCAACACACCAAAGCTTTTCCTGTCCACAACACACTTCGAATGAGATTTCGTCAGGGACCAGAGACAGTCAGGCGGCTAGGTGACCCCATTCTGCCATCCACTGCCACCCACTTGTACCGCCATTGAAATGATGTTTAACCGCAAATTCGCCGATGTGAATGAACTCCGCTTAATTTTTCGTTAAAAGCAAATGAAAAATAATACAAACAGAAAAAGGATAACAGCGAGGAGAGCGGAATGAAAGTGGTAAACATGAGAATTGAGTAGGAACAGCGCTTTTGCATTGGCTTCACGACAAGTGGCTGTGTGGCTGGGTCGCAGTGACGATATTTTATCTGCCTTTTGTTAATCTTTAATTTAAACACTTTCCGTAAGTCCTTTTCGATGGACGCTATAAACAGTTATGAGCAAAAGAATCGAATACGGAAGGAAATTTGCCTCGATAACTTTAACACGCTACTCACAACGGCCTATCTACTCAATACATCTGTTGACATTTCTTATTGTAAGGCCTGTGCATCGTTGTTTTGCTCGTTCACGAAGACCCGAACGTGTCTATTTCTCGACGTTCCTAGGAGCTGCGACTTTCATACGGCACATTAAGCCGAATTTGGGCCTACAACCAAGATTTATGGCCTTCTACGACTTAGTAATGGTGAATAGCGCAGCCGATGGAACTATGAGCTGTCCGAGAGATATGGTGGCCAGCTTCGAAGCTTACAATGCAGTACCCACCGGTAGAAGAAAGGAAGAGGACTATAATAAATAAGAAGTTGTGTCTGGTGTTCTCCAAAATTTGTTGCATAGTGAATATCTGGTCAAAGGTGGATTAACCAGGTCTAAAGCCATAGTGATAAGGTCCAATCAGTTTGTTGATGGAGGGCTTCAGTAATTGGCCCATACATGGGTTCATCTCTTTTATAGATGGAGCAGAGGGCACTTGAATTCTAATCATCTGTCATGCTTTCGTCCAAGAATGCTATTGCATACAGCTTGTCAGCTCTTCACCGCCATGATAGAATAAATCGTCTGTCAGCTTTTTAAATCGAATTTGCAGGTACTCTTATTCTCTTGAAAGCTTCAATAGAAAATTTTTGTAAAGCACGAGAATCCTTGACACAGGGAATATGCCGAATACAATATGTAACGACTTTATTTCGCTTGCCATGCCACCGTGAAGATCACACGGTCCGCACAACCACACACATGAACAATTCACTTCTAACAATATTCCCAATGACAACACCTGCATCTCTTCCAGTCTTTTTCAGATTCGTTCTTCTTAAATTCTTCCACATTTTCTAAGCTACCATCACAATAGTTTATTATTATTGTTTTGTATAATTCTGCCAGTCAATGTTATTTACATTTATTCGATATTTTATATCATAACCAAAGAGGGAAGACACTATCCATTTCGTCATGACATTCTGGCAGTAATGGCAACATGAATAACGTACATAGGTATGTGTATGTATATGAGTATGTATTGTATATACAATGCTCACTTGGCAACACCCCCACCATTGACCTGAAACCCTCCCTCCCTTTTTTACAATAAAGATGCTATTTATCAGATGTAACATAGGAGCCGATGCTAGTCTAGATTTCACAATCTCTGCAGCTCCACTTTGCTTGCTTAGTAACGACTGTACGGTAGTCTCTTAATAGGTACATATATGTCGGTATGTATTATATGTATTGTTTTCGGGGCGACTATGATGGAAAGAAGCATGTGACTCACTACATTTTTTCTGTCATCTCTAACCCCAGTCAAAAACTCCTCTGTCCTCTGTAAGTTTACCGGTGCTCAAGCTAGCAGCAGCGCTCGTCCTCTGCATATCGCTAGATTTACCAGCGGAGTGTCTGTTGCGATGTCGTTGTTCGCCGCCATGTTATATACATTTACAGTTGTTCTGACTTTGTGCCTCCTTTAGACAGGTTGAACTCTTTGGTTTTTCTTGGTTTTCTTTATGGCCCTTGAATTTTACGATTATTGCGCTTAATGTGTCGTTTGTGTTTCGCGACACTGATACCTCGGCCGCTTGTCTATTGGTCAGTCGCATGCAGCATCTTGAAACCAGTCGCCGGGCCGCTGGTTAAGCAGCTGCGAAGGCAGCACGGCCAATACCAGTGCGGTTATCAGCCACTATGCCATGACGACATTGTCGACTATTACATGTTAAGTAAAATAAACGAGCGTCGTTCTCCCAAAAGAATGGCATCAACAACTTTGTCTTTTCTTTAAGCTGCAATACTTGGGTTGATCGAAGTCGAGTTTTTGAAGTTGAAAATGTTCGCTTTTCTCTTGCTTCACCTTGTTATATTGTGCTCGTCTGCGCCGCCTTCCCCACCTTGTCAACTTGACAGCTAATTTCATGTTGAATTTATGTTCGATTTGTCAACGACAGCGATTTTCTTGCGGTTTGGCGCAAGTTTATATCGCATCGTCGCGAGAACTCTTCTTCTTTCTAATTGATGATTAAAGCCGAACTCAGTTATGTCAAATATGCGCCGGCTTAAAGCGGGCTCAGAATATTTCTAACAATATCTAGATAATTCTGGCTCTTATGCTTGTGAACATACTTATACGTACATATATACATTTAAGCTTTATCGACACCAAATCTGAACCTCACCGAATTTCAAGCGTTGATTAATTTCATATATTGTTTACAAGTGTACTATTGAATATGTACATATATATTATCGAAAAGAGAAAATAAGATTCAGGATAAGAACTTTAGTAATAAGACCAGACAAAATCTATTGTATATTAATATTTTTCATTTTCTTTACAGCACGCATTGCATGTGGATGACGAAATACTAGCTCCTCCTCAGATGGGTCATTCACTGCCCGGCATGGCATTGCCACCGCACCAGCAGGCGTCTGGTCTGAGCGATAAGCAGCGCAGTGATATGCTTGCCATTCCAGCGAAGAAATCGAAAGGTTTCGATGAGGCAGCAGCCTATCAGCTCGATTATCAACACTACCAATCGCTTATGTATGCGCATTGTGCACAACAACAACGGGTCGGCTCGATGTCTGCGTTTAGGCCATGGGCACCGAAATCCTTCCTACATTCTCCAGCCACCTACAATGCGGTAGCAGCGTTCTCCACACTACCCTATCTAAGTCAAGAGCCACCAGTGTTGCAAAATCCGGAGAGAGTAGTGCGCAGCACGGATCGAGAACGTTTCGAACGCACCTACCAGCCAAATGTAGCTCTAGTACCACGAAAATGTGTTCTAGCCAAGGAAAGAGAAAAGGAGCAACGCGAAAGGGATCGGGAGCGCATTGAGCGGGAACGGGAGCGAGAGCAGGAGAGGAAATTGGAACATTCGAGAGAACGGGAAAAACAAGAACTGGAAGAGCAGGAGCGGGAGCGAAAAGAACGAGAAATGCAGGAGCATCGGCGACAACAAATGTTGCAACAACAGAATATACATCAGAAACAACCATCATCAGCACAAACTGTACAGGAACAAATGAGTCTATCAAGCCTTTGCCCGACAGAGCTAAAAATAAAACAAGAACGTGCCAATACTCCGACCGACATACCCCAATCACCACCGCTTACCAATATGAGTGGCGATGACGAGGATGCCCCTCGTGACCATAATGGCTCGGCAATACCAATGGTATCGCCCATAGCGGTTGCAATGGGCCAACAACAAAGAAAACTGCTTAACAATAATAACGGCAGCAACAATAGCAGTTGTCACAGCGAAGGCCTCACTATACAGCAGCAACAACTTCAAGAGCAGCAGTCACGAAGACTCGCTCTCTATAACTCAAACTCTTTCGCCTGCTCCTCTTCGTCGACGACACCAACAACACCCCCACAGCAACAACTATTGCATGCGCACTTGCCTCCGCCAAAACAGTACCAGCAAGAGCAAAGGCATGGCCATCAGTTGTCACAACAACAACAACAACAACAACAACAACAGCTGATACACCTGAGACAATCTCCCCGTACGTTTCCTCCATCACCCACGGAAACTCACAGCTCGGAGGAATTTTCAGGCTCGAACGAAATCACATCATCCACATCACCTGCCCCCTGCAACAAAACTAAGACCACCAGCCGTGATCCTGGTCTACGCGACGCTCACACTCAGGAGTCTAGCCGAGATCAACAGTGTCAGCCTCTGATTGCAACTGTTAACCAGCATGCCAAGCTTCTTCCCACGCCGATAACAGCAAGTTTTACTGCCAACAGCAATAGCAACAACCACAACGAATTGCCAAGCCGAATTCGGATTAGCAAAAACTTAATCAACCGATCAAATATAATTAGATCACCAACACCTCCGCCATCACTACCTCCTTCATCAGCATTAGCTCAACTCCATCCGCTTCAAGAACAACAACACCTTCAGCCACAACAACAGCTACAGCAGCACCAACCTCAGTTGCAAGTGTTGCAAAATCATCACCAACAGTATGAGTTTTATAAACAAAATCAGCGGCTTTTTGATCAACAATTTCAACAACAGCAACAACAACAACAACAACCTCTATCATCGATGCAACACAAACAATTTGTAATGCACTCCCATCACCAATCACACCAAGCCAAGCATTCACCCTCACAGTCTTCCACCGTAACCGGGCTGAATTTGAGCACGCATGCCACGAAAGGTATAACACAGTTGATGACGAGAGATGCACAAAAACAACAAGGAGGACAGCAAACACGACCATACAACGGTATACCGTACATTGGCACCGAATTCGAGCTGTCCACAGACACTGACGATGATAGTGTGAACGGGGAGGCAGATAGCAGTCATATTGCATCGGCCTGGGATACGGCGATTGAAGCACTGCGCGACACAAGACCCAAAGAGCGAGAGCGAGTACTCGATCTACTCCGAAAGGTGTTACATGAAAATCAAGATATGCGTTACAGCAATCTTCAACTCAGTGAAATGGTACAAAAGCGAGATGCAGTGATCAGAGAACTCCGAGAGCAGCTTCAAACCTGTCGACGTCATTTGCAGATGCTGAGTTTACGTCAAGAGTTGCCCGCCCAAACAAATGGTTTGGACATCAGTGATGGTTTTAAGGATGAAGAATCACGAGGTTTGTTACTAAAGCGATCGCTATCAAATACGAAATGTGCAGATTCAGAGCACAACAGTGTAGCCAAAGATGTTGGAGCTGATGATGAACACCGTTATAATTCATCAACGCCAATGGCTAGTCCAGCCGAGTTGACTGGGGAGAAGAAGGACAAGCTGTCGACAAACGATCAGCTGAGCGATAGTGAGGATGGAAGGGACCTTTCCTGCAATAGTAAGGAATCTGAGTATGACAGCGATAACGGTAGTGATAAGGAAAGTGAACATGCTGCTGATTCTATTAATGTGAATAATGATCTCAGAAGCAGTGACGATCTCCCATTGGAGAATGTGAATGACTTAAAAGACGTCGATATAAGTGAGCAGCCGCAAGCGAAGCGTTCTAGACTCGAAAGCGGCAGCGAAAGCAATTGCAGCTCAAACGAGGAGTATTCGACAGTTAAGCATACAACGAACCAATCAGACGAACAGGCTTCACGCATATCTAAGCAAGATGACGACAACTCTTACGGTTCGGAAGATGATGAAACGCCAACGGCCAATACAATATCAGAGTTTGCCGAGTACTCGAATACCAAAAATGATCGTTATACACAAATAACCAACACCGATGACCACGGTGACGACGAAGAAGAGGAAGAAGCGACTCGATCTTCCGCTGCCAATGGTAGCGATAGCAACACGAACGCATCAGAAGACGAAGATAACGACAGTGGCCGGCCCTTAACACACCCCCTGGAGGCGGAGACAGACGTGCAAGCGCCACATAGCAGCTCATTGAGCACCGTACCCACGGCGACTACCCCATTATCACCGCATTCTGCCGCAACTGCTGGACAGTTGTTCGACAGCAGCAATAGCAGTGATGAATCGTCAATGAAAAAAGCGCAAATGTCAGCATCCAACGCTCTCGCCAAAATCACCGAAATCACCGAAACTGCGGATGATGGCGATGATGGCAACGTAGAAGCAAATCAAATCAAAGAGTTGTGGAGAACAAAGGGAAAGACGCAGTGCAAAGTTGAAGAAGTTGAAAAGCAGAATCGGGATCGCAGCGGTGGGAAGTCGGAAATTAGTAGTTTGGGTGGTAATGCGAAAGCAAGTCGCTTCAACATCAATAAGGAACAATATAGTTCGCGCAGCGGACGATATCCTACCAATTCGAATACGTTGTCAACGAACACACATGAGAATCAACAAACCGGCGAATTTAACGAAAACAAATTCGATCTCAGTGTTAAAGTGAATAATAACGACGTCTTGGGTAAGGAACCTCTGGCACCGCGCGCACCTCTTCCAACAAAGGCCAGCAAAAAGCAAACTCCAACACCAAACACTGAGGTACGGATCAAAAAGGAAATAATTTAACCGCTTCTAAGCAAAACACGATAAACCCGACACTCTCACGGTCTCTCGTAGACCATGGGGCGGAATGAACCGGCCATGTCGCCAGGATAAGCGGCCGCCCTTCTAATCATGCCTACGTACAAATGCTTATGTGCTCATGTCTCTCAGATACGACATGGACTCATGATGCTCTTCTACTCAAGCGAACGTTACAGTTTAATAATTGCACATGCACACATACATTCATAAATGTATTCAAATCATAGTTGCGCAAAATGCAAACATTTTTCAATACTTAAAAGGAATTAAAAATTTCAAAATCAAATGCAGATGAAAGTTTCAATGAATAAAGCTTGATGAATCGAGTGCAGAAAATTATTATGCCAGAGCAGAATGCGCTGACGAAATACTACTTTCGGTTTTAAAATATGCACAATAATTTTATTTTCAATTAATTTTTATGTTTTACTTTTAGTTATTGCATTGAAATCGTTATCGGCATCCAATGTTGCAAAGTATTGTATAATTACCAGTAAAATGCAAACGCCTTAAATTATTAGTGCATTTTTAACAAATTTGTTTCGAATGTGCATATGTATGCTCGTACGTTGCTATTAAGCCAATCTATACACCTTTCTGCTATGTCCGTGCTGCGAGGCTTTTAAAGCTTGCACATTACACCCACATTAATAAGTATTTTAATAGATTTTTACTGTCTTAAGCTAATCTATAATTTTAACGGAGAAAATATTGTAATAACTGTAAAAAAGTTTTGTACATACTAAAATATGTATGTATTCTCTGAATACAAAGTGAACAAAGCACAGCCATTTATTTGCTTAATTTTATATGGTTGGAAATTACACACACACACACACACACACACTCGCATTAACAGTTGTATATTTATTAAACCAAAGGACGAAGCAAACTGAAAAAATATATGTACATGTTAGAGGCACTTTTTGAGTGACGAGGCGCAGCCAGGTATTATGTTCACACAGGCTGCAGTTTCAACAATTTTGACAGCTTTAAGTCTTAGTTGTGTCGCCGGCTGCCGCGATAGCCAAGTGTTTAGCCTTGCCTACTGCCATTCGGAAACGAACGAGTTCTGGTTCGACCAATCCAACATTAATTTTTCTAAATTTGTTTTTGCGGAGTGGTGACTCCTCATCAGACTTCTTATGGCAGGGATCGAACTAACGGATCCTGACTTAACAGGCGAGTGTTAGTGAGTTGTGTTTCAGGCGTTGATTGACTGAAAAATGAATAGGGAGAAATAAGTATCAGGTTCAACTTATATAATCATAATTTGTTTTTGCTAATTTTTCTAATTGCGGTCGCCTCTCGGCAGGAAATCTCATGCCGTGACTTGAAATAATAATATTTTATTTTATTCAATCAGTTTTTTCCATTTTCTAAAAAAATAAAACCGGTATTAAATAAAAATCTTTTTAACAGTGAAAAACCCAATTGCCTGTCGAATGGTATCGTCAGGCTTGGCAGGGTGTGACCGCACTCTTTTAACTACAATTTGACTTATAAAATTAAATTTCTACTTGCACGTGCTGCATGAGCAACTTTTATTTCCTTGAAATGGCTGTGAAAGCATTTGAGGATAGTCAAAAAGGGTTTTTAATAATTTATTGTGAATTATGCTAATATTCAGAAATTGAATACGAATTGTCATGAAACTTTTTTGACATTCAATTTCGAAATTTTTCATTTGCAATTAACTAATTGCTGTGTCTCACGGAACCTTGAGACTTGTGAGCGGCCTGTTTGAACATAGTATTAGTGCAATAAGTAATAAATCGAAACATTCGTCCTTTTCATGAATTTCATGTAAAACAAAGATCATGTGAAAAATTCAATACAGAACTAATGCAAAATTATATAAAAAATTGTAAATAAAAAAATTATTCAAAATTTTTGCAGCGTTTTGTCCAATAAATATGTACGTATGCTTGATGCAGAAAGTATGTTTTTCAAAATCTTTTCCTTTCAAAACAATGATTGTTAAAATTTCACATTAATAACAAATAAATATGAACAAGACACGTACATATGTATGTGCATATATTGAAAATTACATAAATTCAATCAACTAGATTTTAAGCTCAATAAATTAATAAATTAATAACGTAAACAATTTTAAAATAATTAATAATAAAATATTTAAATGCCAACAAAGTGAATGCGTATTAGTTAATATATAAATGCACATGCAGGCAATTACTAACTTAGAATAAACGCATACACGTATGTACTACATACATACAAACATGAAAATGTATAAATGAGTTTTTCAAAAGTTCTTAAATGTAAAATTATTCTTTGTAAATATGTATATGCCCAATTTTCCCCTTTTATTTGCAAACAATATAATAATATAAGACTTATTTCGCAGGCCTTCTCTTCAAATGGTCTTTTATACGCATACATATGTACATATATGCATATGTACATACATGCATTAGGATTTTCATTTTCAAAATTCCATTAAATTGTTTAACCAATTTTTAAAAGTGCCAGTACATTTCTTTAGTTCCCTCAACTGCAATTTTATTATACTTAAAGTGCAAAATGAAAAAAAAAAATAATAATAATAATAAAACAATAAAAGCGCATACAAAATTTACGATATTATATTTATTCACAGAAACCAAAGCTTTAAAAAGAATTAAACTAAAATTTTTCATTAAGATATTTACTATGGAATAAATATTTGTGAGTAGCTTTTGGTAATTTAGTTTTCTAATTAAATATTATTATTTTTATTATTAAAATTATTGTTATTAATATGCATATGTATGTATATGGCGGACGCAATAGTCGAGTGGTTCGCTGTGTGTACTGGCATTTGGGAAGCCAGGGTACAATTCCTAGTTATAGAAAATTCATTTTTCTAATTATGGTCGCCCATCGGCTCCCCATAAATATCCATGGCCGTTCGGAGGCAATGTTGGAAAGAAAGAAAATCAAGACGCGCACCACAAATTGGAGGAGGAGCTCGGCCGAATATCACTAAAGCGTTTAGAAAACGCCAAATTTCAATATATACATACATAAGTACACTTATTCAAATTAATAACAAACTGAATAGGTTTACGTTAAGAAGACCTTTTTTTTATGACTGACAATTGTTTAATTTTGATCTTGGATCATAATAAATGCTTTCCAATAAACGAAAATGGCCGAAAAAATCTTGTTTGAGCTATCGGAAAGCTCTAATGTAAAGACAATTTTGTCTTTGCGGTTTACTTGAAGAAATTTGGGAAATATTGAAAACTTATGAATAAAATGGTGCTGCGCCAACCATGCAGAGACGATTCATGACTGGAAGCACGAAATTAAAGTCGCCATTGCAGCCATAGACGGTCATACAATGGAAACTGTGTTGAAAAAAAATTGTCTACAGAATGAGCTCCAGCATGGTCAGTTGCGAAAGTTGTGAATAAACTGTTCCATTAACAAACGAATTCTTAAGACATTTCAATAAGTGCAAGAAAAATTTATATTTTTTCTAACAATTTCGTAACGTAGATTTTTCGTGCCGCACCCTTTATTTCCCTGCACTGCCCACTTCAAGTGTGGGCAAAGCGAGTACAAACCATTTTAGTAATAACTCCTGCACAAGATAATCAATTAAAAAATGCTTAAAACTGTAGCAAAAGATTTTAAAAACAAATCACCATCCCGAAATGAGCAAATTAATCAATTATGTGCATATGTATGTATGCACGCACTGCTATTTTACACAGTTATTGCTTAGTATTGTTAAATTTGGATATTTCCACAGAATGGTCTACCGGCATCACCGGAATTCCCGGAAAAATTAACATGTTAATAAACAAGTGATTAATTTAAGTTTTGTTTATAAAAATGCAAACATTTTCATTATAATATAATGAATTTACGGCTCACTTGCTGAAAACGTTTATGTTCCGTTTCGTAGATTTTTTGCATTTTTCTACATTAATAGAGTCAGGAAGGACTAACATTTTTGTCGCGTTTTTGATCTCGCTTTTTTTGGTAATATATAATATTATATTTAAAATAAAAAACTGATAGAATCTACTCTTGTGTAGAAAACATGTTATTCATACAATTTTTTTGAAACATGACAATAAGCTGGGATTAGCTTATAAATGGAAGCAACTTTAACTGTTTGCACCTCATCGTCGTACAACGACGATGTCGCGCTCTTGACCATGGGCATATCCATATTTAATGACATACATACATATGTACACACACACTGCTCGTATAAAAGCATATACATACATATGTACATATGTAAGTACTATGCTTCCTGTAAGAGAAAAAAGCCAGATAAACCCACCAGTTAAAATATAAATCAATTCATGATGGTAACACATACTTAAATACATACATACATAATTATATTCAAATGAAGCGTTTATATTTTTTTATTCAATAAAAGGTAATGTAACAGTGAACACAAGCAAGAGTATAATAATTACATATACACATGTATGTACATATATATATATATGTATGTGCAAATTCAACTTACAGACATACATATGGAGACTCTCGATAATTTGCATGTGCAACAAACATAATTTACATACATATATATATATATTTCTTAATTTAATTGCAATTAATTAAAATTAATGAAATAATTGTACAAAACTTGCTCATACATAGATATATGTATATATTATTTAGGCTCGTTTTTAATATTTATTTTAGCATAACAACGCTGACAAACATCCACGCATAGATACATATATATTCACAATGCTGTCAGTGCTATGAAATGTAAATATTTGTTATGTGTATATATATACATATATAGTATATATATATATATATATATATATATATATGTATTTTATTACTTCTAATCTCGAGTATCTTAATTGCTTTTGTACTTCCCTCTACTTTATCGTTGTTTTTTCTTTTCCTTTTCCCTTTCTATTAAAATTCCTCAAAAAATTGTTGCTTTTGATATTTTGACCAAATTGTTAAAGAATTTAATTCCAGTAAAGTAAAAAAAAAAATTATGTGTGATTTTGTTTTGTTGAAAAAAAGCAAACAAAAAATTAAACAAATTAAAGATTTATAAAATCAATGAAATGTGTTAATAAATAATATTGTATATAGGAGAAAGAACTGTGAAGCATCAAGCGAAATAATGAATTATAAAATACCAAAAAGGTGCAAAAATCTTATTGCTATCGAAGGAAGATTCTGTGGGATCCATTAAGACGTTGCTGAAGGTAGCACAACAACAAACTTAAATATATAAGTTTAATTTTTAATAGTGTATCACTTGTGTAATTTTGTAAGATGTAAAGAAAAAATTCACACAAAAAGTAATGAAAATTATGATAAAAGAGTAGGTCTCAAAATGAAGAAAAAAAATAAAAAATTATAAAAATAGCATTATGACATCAGAGTAACTCAATACTAAAATGATATGAATGAAAGTTATGAATTTATGTTATTGTAAGCTTACAGAGAAGTTTAAAATTTTCTAAAAATAAAACCTATAATTATTTGTAATAATTCCTGTGTTTTTTATTTTCTTTTATCAGAAATGTTTTCGTTATTATTTTTTGATTTAGTGTGAGTGTTTATGTGGAGTTAGGATTGCAACTCACAACGAATTAGACGCATAAAATATCGATGCATTCACTTTTCAAAGCACCATTTTTCCATTTGTGTTTTAATATTATTACTATTTTTTTTACTTTATTTTTTTTATTTTTATTTTTTTGGAAAATACGACCAACCACAAATTCACTTAAATATTCAAGTGGTGATTTGGTTTGTTGACAATGTTCTCTTTTTCAGGATACTCGCTTCGTTTTAGTTCTTATTTAAAGTTTGATTTGTATTGTTTCTGCCCCTTTCCTGATACCTCATACAGTTTTTAACCCAATAAACGAAATAATGATGCAATAAAGTTAGAGTAGCGCTTTACATTAGATTAAATCTAGTTTACACAAATGAATGGTTGAAGTTAGGAAGATGCATGAAATAAATTTGCTAAAAAATGCACAATCACATAGTAACGATAAATACTTGGAACGAGAATTTTAAGCGTTCGATAGTCACGTTCAAACCACACATTTCTTCAATGAAATTTTTATAAAGCTTACTGAAATTCAATGACAACATGTTTTATATGCCAAAAAGCGAATTTCCATGATCAAAAATATGTTAGTACTGAAAAGATCTATAGAACACAAATAGCTACTAACGTACATATGTATGTATATATACAGAAATACAATATAAATATTGAAAAAAAAAAATGCCAAAGACCTCTTAACAACAACAAATCAAGCAAGAAACTGGAAAACTGTTAATCGAATTGTTGATAGCCAATAATTAGAAGAAGAGGATTTTTTATATGTGGATATGAGACGCAGCTAACCGATATCTCGTATGTATGTAAGTATATGTCTGCATTAATATTCGAATTAATCACTAATTAATTAATTAATTAATTAAAAGAAGAAATGTACAAATACTCAAGTAATTAATCAAAGCTAAATAACCAAATCATAACGAAAATGAAATATACATACACACATGCATAAATACATACATAGAGAAATAGATTAGGCAACAATGACAAGTAACTTTACTTGAATCAAAGAAATTATTTATCTTCAACGTTAAAACAGTTTCATATTACGTAGTAAATAATATACTATATATATCCACATATATATATATATATATATATATATAGCATTAAAGGTAATTTAATATACAAAATACACGCATGCATACATATGTATGTAAGTGTGTGTGTATATCTACGAAACAATCCCCGTGCGACGATTTAAAGCAAAAAGGAAAGATATTTCATAACAACAATATACTCAATAATAAAATTTAAGGTTATGAATTTTTGAAATGTACAAGGCAATGCAACCAATAAATATTGAAAAGTATTGAAGTAAAAAACAATAATAATAATGTCTTTTTCTCATTTATACCGAATATTTAGAGTACGCTTGCAAGTGTATTCAAATGAAGGGAGGTATATATCCGGTTAAGCCAAGCAAAACTCTTTGCGAAGAAGAAGTAAGTTTTTATAAGCATTGGTGCTTTTTGATACCGATATATTGATAGCACTGAAATTAAGAGGCGAGGTGCTCTCTTTTGAATAAGTACACAAATGGTAATTTTTTATCTTAAATAATTTTTTTATTTCTGCCACAAAATTTTTAAAACCTGGGTTTCGTTGAACTGTCATAAATGTACAAAATATTCTTCTGGTAATAATTAATGTTATAAATTATAACTTAATATTACTACAAATACATACTAGAAATATATACTACATTAAGCGTTCAAACAAAGACGCTGAATTTTCATAAATGAATCATTAGGAAATCATCGAAGCTAAGTCTGTTAATATATTATTGCCTATAATGTGGACTACATAATTTGGAATGCGAACATACAATAGTTATGCATTCAATACGCTGTGATAAATAATATTAGTTGTGCATTTTTCACATTTTGGTTGTGGATAAATACGATGATAGTCACCAAAAATCGTTGATATCTTATGCGTGAAAATATCAGTTGACACTCACAATCAAGGAGTTGCTACAAACGCACACATTTCTAGTTAAACTACATTTTTTCATTTGTAACGAACATCTATCAATAAGCTCATATATGTACATATGCATGTACATATATACCTGATACAATGTACGTGGATACATAAGTAACAATATATAGTACTCATAAATCATACATATACACACCTATATACATATGTACATTGACGTAGATATACGCATATACATATATAACAATGGGGTCTGTGTACATAAGGCACAAGACGCATTCCTGATAAGTTGTGCTGCAATTTACATTTATTAATTACTTTTTATATAATATTGTATAATGTGTATGGTTTATTTTTTAAGTATTTAAAATTTTTTTCAATCAATTTGAAAAACTTTTCATACATACAACTTAATAATACATAGTAATAAGCAGTTTTCATTCATTCACGCTCGTCCATCTTGCCATGAAGAGTTGTCAAATTAATTCTCAACTTCTTATGTATTTACCAATAACTGCTAAGCAAAGTGCTCAACTAGTTTTGCCTGTATGTATTATATTTAAGTATCTATTCATTATGTAGAGTTATCACTTTCCTTCCAGCTCTATACACATACGATTTGCGCCGTGACACCTCCAACAGCTTATATAGATCATGAGAGTTCACCTATCGGTGCGTTTTGCAGCCACAAATCGTGAATGAAGTTGTACAAATTATCGCTAACGGCCACCTGTAAAATGAAAAAGCGCAGTACATGATAGAATTTTTTTCTTGAAGTTATTATTTGGGAAGTTTTTTTTTAGTTTTAATTCAGCCCCACCTTGTAGGGTGTTGGATTGAGTGTGCGTTTGTGGTCATTCCTTAGCGTCTTCAGTGAGATTTGAACCTTTTCACGAACTTGTTCAAGAGTGGGTAATTGTTGTGTTATTTGGCCATCCTTCCAATAGACCTTGTACAACAGCTCAACGTGTGAGGGAATTACATAGGCCCGTTTAGATTCTTGAAAAGGATGACGACACAAAACCTTCTGACCAACACTTGGTGGTGGTTCGGTCACTTTTTGCAATAAATCAATCAATGCATGGCCATCAGCGCTGTATAGTCTGCAAAAAGGAAAATAGAAAATTTCATTATTAACTATTTAATTGGGGGTCAACTACTATATATGTATATATATATATATATATTATATATTACAAATATTATATTTATATGTACCTGAAAGCATTTTTGTGTCCCGGCATAGTCACCTTTTCTACATCCTGACTAAGTTTAATGCGCGGCTGGCCATTTATTTCAACTAGCTTATAGACACAACCCAAAGCTGGTTGTCTCTGGCAAGTAACTGCAAAGGAAATCGAAAATGGATAATGCATATTCGTGCGGTTTCATTAATAAAAATCATTGTTAAATCACCTAAATGAGTACCAATACCGAAGCAATCGATTTTATGTCCTTGTTCATTCAAACTGAGAATGGTGTCTTCATTAATATCGTTCGAGGCCACAATTGTCAACTTGTTGAACCATGGAACCTTGAAACGATCAGCCACCTTCTCGAAGGTTTCACGTGCCAAGCAGGATAAGTAAGCCAAATCACCGGAATCAATGCGAATTCCCACTGCATGATAACCCAAATCGTTTAGTGCTAAGGCTACAGCGCAAAAATTCAAAAGCCCGCTTCTGTGGACGGTATTCAAAATCAAAAACGGAAAATGTTGTTTATAAGAATTGAAGTCAGTATTTAGTAGTGCAATATTGCAATAAATTCTCTAAAATGCTGTGTATAGTTTTGAGATAGAATAAATTATTGCTACAGTGTCTAGTTATAAGACGATTGAAATATTGCTCAAATCGGAACACAACATTTTCCTATTCTTTGCAACCAAAGAATAATTGGTAAAATTTATTTTTAATTTGAAATATGTAATATTGTTTTTTATATCTTCGTACTGGACATTGGCTAGTTTTGCTTAATTTTGTTCAAAAATCGTTGGGAGCTCTAAATTGGGCCAATACTTAGAAGAAAAAATTGTCGAACTAAATGAATAAAATAAAATCAGTAAATAAATTAATGAGCTCTTTATTGGCACTTTCATAAGCAATTTTGACCTTCTTTCGGGACGTAGAACAGCCATCAGCGATTATATTAAAAAACACTTTCCGCGGTTGCTAATTATAAGCTTTAAATAGTTAAAAGTGGTTAGCAAAGACTTAATTAATTGCATTCCAAGCGTATGAGTGATGCAACGATTAATAAAAAATAAACTCTTTAGACAAATTTTAAACATAATCAGTTAAAATATTCCCAATGCAGGACGTTTTTTTTTCAGTTCTCAGGTACATTTAGTGTCTAAATGGCCGGAGCATTACGTGAACTAAAGTGTTGTGCTTTTTAAAAAGTTATTTGAGGTACTTTCAAAGTGAAATTATATTGCTGCTTTTGCTGGGTTGTGAACTAGCTACTCCAATACTTGATTACTAGTGACACTCATATTTGGTGTTAGCGAACTTTTGAAAAATGCCAAATTATTTTATTCAACAAGGCGATATTTTACATTTCGGTAAAAGTCGTGTAAATAAAAACCAATGATGTTAATATGTATGATGTGTGGTAACTATTAAACAGAAACTTATGGTCATAAAAGCTAAGATGTAAAGATAAAAATGCACAAGAAACACACAAGCCATGCAGTGTGCTCTCTCGGACACAATTTTATTTGTGAATGGATTTGTGAAGTGGGGAGAGTTAAAATTATATAATTCAATATCACAATACCAATGCAATTATCTGTTTATCACACGTACGTGTAAGTACCTTTGGTTCTTTGGTCTGTATATATATATATATACGTTTTTTGGGCACTTTCGTAAATATGTATGCTTGTATTTGTGTCTCAATATAGGATTTCTCGCTATAAATATTGTTACGCTAAATGTTATGATTATTAAAAAAAATATATATGTATCTGTATAATTTTACATATATATTTATTTATATGGTAATAATAACGGTCGTGAATTTGTTATATTCAATTGGAGTGTATGAATGCAAAAATGTGAGCCATCTTTAATCGGTACTCACATGCTTTGTTATTATGGATGATAAAAAATGTCGTTTTCAATTTTTAATTATTTAGGATAAATGTGTGTTTTTCGTTTTACATACCTCTGCCAAAATAATGCCGGGAAGTCATTTGAGATTTCTCAAAATACATACACACATATGTAAGTAAGTAGTTTTCGGTGTATAAAGGTAGGAAGTAACGATCACATCTGATACAAATTAGCGACGCATGCGTTAATAATATATAATATATATGTATGTAGACTTTAGTTATAAAATGAATGCACATACACTTAAATGCATACATATGTATGTGTATGAAATGAGTTAGGACAAATACAAAACGAGAAGAAATAGTTACTTTTATGTGTGAAACTTGGAACGAAACTAAACATTTAAATTCAACTAAATTTTAAAGTATTATTTTCAAAATCATTCTGGATTAATAATAATGAAATAAATTCGTATAAGGGTATTAAAGGATGAATTTGACAAATTGAATTACAAATCTATAATGAACGTGATTGTGTACAAAGTATGTCAGCTGTAGAAAATAATATTAGTTTTTTTTTTATTCGGCTGCAGCATTAAGAAAAATTGCAATTGAAGTTTTAATATGTTCTTTAAGCCTTGATTAAATGATTTTTTTATGAAAATTTATAAGCACATATTTAGTTACGTATGTTCGAGTATGCATATCGATTTCATAAAATTGGGAGGCAGAAATAGTTACATATATTCTTTTGTAAACGAACCCCAGGAGTGTAAGAGCCTATTGAATGATTTACCTGAATGACTTCTCGACATATTTTGGCAGATACGAATTTGAAGTATATGATGGTAAAGATTGATTACATGTGGGCTGGTTGGTGATAATGATGTTAGATTGACCGGTTACACCCAATCGTGAAGTTAGAACAACCTCATTTGTATCCAGAGATCTTTTATTTCCATCAACTAGAGTTTCGTTCTTAATTTGAAGCTCATTTATGCTAGCATGTCCGTTGGTGGCCTCTTTGTGAATGTGCCCATTCAATTGTGTTAAGTTCGTTAGCAATTCGTAATTTTTTGTCACACTGTTGTCTTTGCTTGGTTTCGAAGATTGAAATTTGCTGTTGAAAACACTTGATTATATTTATTTTGCATACTAAAATACACAAATAGCGGGACGAGACACAATTATACACAAATTTCTATAGATTTAATATGAGATTAATTATGTGAGTTTCTTATCCTAAATAGATAAGGATTTACAAATATAAACATGTATATGTATTTGTAAATGTATGTGCACTTGTATTTGGCAAGTTGATTTACATATACGAACGTATATCATACATATGTAAATAGAGATGAACGTAAACTACGTTTCATGGTTTGGCTGGTTTTATGGGGTAGATAAGTTCTTCGCTTGCGATAACATTTAAGAAATATTATGTACAACAAAATCTATGAAAAAATTGTAGTTCCGAGAGAATCTGCCTAGAAGCGAAATACCTCTTAACATCATACGTATCGACAAGTGCCATGAATCCATCTGGGAACGCAATTGCATAGGACACCATTGCTGCCAATTCGCCTTCACTCGACTCTTCTTGTGAAACATCAAGTACAAGTGCCAATGCCTGACGATGTCGCACAGCGTGATCCAATAAATCCCCAGTGATACCTAAGAATTGCCATATCTGTATGCACAACAATTAAAAAACAAACTATATGTCTTAATAACCATACCAGTTATCTTGTGTCTTAATAAACGCGTTTTTAGCTCTCCAATGCCAGAAAAAGAAGTGATGTAAGCATGCGCATGTGTGCCTTTTACAGGTATATTGAAAAGCTTTCCTGCGAGCACGTTGGATGTTCCATCAAAGCCACCTGAAAAAATATATATGAAAATAAAAGTCTAATCATTAATCTTGCAAGTATTCCAAACATAAATTATATTTTTATAAATTGAGTTTCATTCGAGCTTTTCACCCAACAAATATGTATTTTCGTATGTTAGTGGCAGTTTGTTAGTCTTGCCGTGTGTTCGGTAATTCTTCACGAATTAACCCACGGATTTACGTCACACGTGGAAAGAGTAGCCCGACACCAACTGGTACATAAAATGTGCAAAATCAACTTAATGTACTACAAAATTTCTGCAAATGTAAGTGTTTAAGCTAGCACCTTTGCATGTAAAATTTTTGAAGGATTTTCACAGGCATATAAAGGTACTATCCGTTGTTTATTGCCTTGAATATTGCTCAATATGAACAAATACACAAACATTGCCAAGTATTACACATGCATACATATGCATGCCGTCTGTATTTACATATACATACTATGTAGTATACACGACACATACAAAGTGTTAATTATCCTTGTGTTCTTGACTTATTCTCCGACACATTTACATTTATATATACAAAAAATTGCATGCAATCACATCATTAAAGAAATGTTCAAAAAGCGTTTGCTTTGAGAAAATATTGAAAGCATTTAAATCAATTAAGCACCTGTATAGGTGATGGATCCATAGCTCAGCATATTTTTAATTGATTATAAGCAATAAGCAATAAGCATGCAATGTATAATATATGTATGACACTAAATTTTTCTAGCGAAGAGATAAAATGCGAAATTTACCAGTATATGAATATTTTGAAGCAGATAGTCCCCCATCTGGCCCCTGTGCACGTCGTAGACCGAATTCTAATAACTTTACATGTTTTCCAGCCACCATGCGATAACGTGCCGCATTCGTCGCCATTAAACTGTGAATGGCAAAAGATTAAAAATATCATGTGAACACTCATACGCACTGATATATTTTAATTTCTATATAGTACAAATATTCATTTGCGTCATGAATGCACAATAATTACCTCGCATAATTCACCAATGTCAATAATGTTGTTTCCAGCAACTGGACAATTATCAAAGGTCCTTCAACTTTGATAATAGGAACCCTATTAAATTGAATACAAAAATACACATTTCATTTATTTATATTAAATATGATTATATATAAAATACATATCAAAGAAAAATCGTTTACTTAGCAAATTTTTGTGGGTCTCATTCGCGATTACAATACATAGAAATAACCATATAATATAATTATAAGACCGTTAGTTGATTCTATTTAAATATGTGATTTTACGATTAAAAAGTATTACCTGGGAAAGGCCACTGTTCCCTCATCAATGGCGTATAAGGTTACATCTTTTGCCGTTAAGCCGGCTAAGTAATTAAAAAATTCATTTTCTACACCTTCGGGTAACGTTTGTCGCAAATAATCAATATCTAATATGTAAAGAATTTACATTTTTCATTGAGCGAATTTAAAGGCATATATCATTACTCACCGCTATCAGAATAATGAAAGCTGTCCAAAAACTTTAAGCATTCTTCTAGTCCAGCAAATATAGTGAATTCACCATGAAACGGATTCGTTCGAAAGAATAAATCAAACACTGATTGGTCATCCGTTTTTCCCGACTTCCAATAAGCATATGCCATTGTAATCTGATACAAATCTAAAAATTTTCAATTTTTACATTATCAATATTTTTAAAGAGTGGTGCACATAATTATTTCATTATCGATATTATTACGACTCCTTCTCTAATTGTATTAACTGATTAAGAAGTGAAAACAAGAGGTTATTGCAGTGATTAAATTAAATTAAAAAATTATTGAACCATTGAATATAAATATACATAAAATGCATATCTGTACATTAACATTTGTGATACATCCATGAGTTCTCAGACCCACAATTATTACATTATTATTATGACTGGTAAGGAGCTTTAGCAAGAGTATATCGAGACTTTTCGAGCAATTTTATTTTTATTTGTAAACCTTTTTTACAAAATTTTATTCTGCAGTATAAAACTTATTTCTTGTTTTGTATTTCTTTTATAATGTAGTAAAATAAATTTTCTATCGTGTCATACATATGTACATAAATGTAAGATGAATGAATTTGTCAAAAGCTCAAAAGGTAGGCAAATTTTTCAACAGTTGTACAATGTCTGTAAACGTCTCGAGCAAGTTGCCATCTTCTACATTGTTCTACACCGAGACATGTACTGATTTAATTTAAAAAACCTAATTAACTAACCTAGTTTGCAGGAATTTATTATTTTATGGCCAAATTATTGATGTTAGCATTTACATACGTCCATACTTGTTGCAAGTGTACAAAAACTCACCTGTCAAAAGGGGTTGTACAACCCCATTTTGATTCATGCGCCCGCGATCCATGAATTGTCCACCAGAGTTACAACTTTGTAACTCACGTTCGCTCATTGTGATCTTTTCCTTATATTTGTTGCAAATAATTTCTTATGTGGCATTCGCTTCGAATGGTTACGTATGTAAAGTCAGGTTGATTTCGTTTTGGTGGGTATGTAATTAATCTATGAATTGATTAAAAATATAAAGCAGAATAAGGTTACATTGTCGTCAGGAATTCACAATATAATTAATTATCACACATTTTAACAAAGAGGGACCCAAATGTTAAACTACTTAATGAACTTGATAAAATTATAAACTGATCATTTGCCGAAATTATTGCCGAAATTATGGAATGGTAGTCAAATTCATAAACTTTTTTTTAAATTTTGTTAGATATACACCATGAAACATATGTAGATATTATATAACTGGATGACTAAGTAATATAATAAGCAGTTGTAGTTATATTTCTTTACGTAATACAAACTAAGTTAATTTAAATAAATTACTAATCAAGAATTTAAGTGAAAATCTATTTTTCAACATACCCGAGGCAAAATAAAAATTTTGATGAATAAATGTTAAATTGGCTACATAATTTCTATGTAAAACAATATGAAAACTATATCAAATAATATATGTTATGTATAGGACACACATGTTATGATCAACTAAGTATGACAGTAAGTACTCTATATACATATGTATGTCAATATGCATTGAGTTGCATATGCTCACATGTATGAGTTTCTCAAAGTAGGTACTTGGGCAGACTATTGATAAAAAGAATTTTGCTTTTGGGTTCGAGACTAAAGTATATGTTTATAAATATATTATATGTACATTTTTATATAAACTATCAACGTAGATATTAATGACACTTTAAAAACAGGCGAATGGGTATTTTACTGCCTTATCACTGCGTCTGGTTGGAAATTGCATATACTATGTTTGCTGGGTACTATGTATATAACAGTATACATAAGCACATAGATTTGTATACATGTGTTTGTTTATTCACTTAAAGTCTAATGATTACCCGTCGGTCGGTTTATAATTATTCATTCACTGCACTCTTAACACTAAATAAAATTATGACGACTTTTTAAATTTATAACCATAATTTTGTTTATTTTGTGTTACTTAGCAGCGGCAATAAAGTTGGTATACACATGAAATAAGCACTTCAATTGTGTTGCTCGAAGTGTCTATAAGAGCGTTAAACCTATAAAGAAATGAGATGCATGTGAGACGCAGCTGAAGGTTGCCTGAAGGTCGGAAGGAGATACTCCTATTCTAAGAACATTTGATACTTCGTGAAAGTTGTATTCTAAGCACACCATTGCACATAAACTTATATGATCAGTGAATATATTTAGTTGTCATCTTACAAATTAAATAATTAAGAAATTAGTATTATTTCCTTTGTTAATTGCCACTTTTCTTTATTTTTAAGATCTGCGATTTATAGTACAAGTTTAATATTAATTTAACTATTAATTTTTCTAACATTTTTTGTGAACATACTATTTCTTCTTAAGTTCCACGACTTCCTTCTGCAACAAAACCGTAAAATATTTTCCCTCGTAGCACAATGTTATTTCTGATAAGAGCAAATGTCAAGTATCCATATATTTATATAAATATATATCTACATAATTACTGTCATGTTTGTCATTAGCTAAATACTTAAGAGCCGTTTTCACGTGCTTGAAATTGCTGCGGGTGAGATGGCTGTTTTTGAGCGCTTGACAGTTCGCTTGTAAGCATATAAATCTAATATATTAAAAACTGGAAATAATCATGTATTAAATGCTTTTAAGTTTCCAATAGAAGAGTATCTCTTTAAATGAGAAAAATACAGTTTGAGAAATGCCCTAAATCACAAACCAATCGGTGCGCAAAAAAAATTATGCCTTGTACTTTTTGCAGTATACTCGTTTGAGATTCACATACTTTAGTCCTTACACTGAATTTTAAAGCACGTATAAACGCCCCACAACGAAAATGTCGATAAAACAGTATCTGTTTGTAACTATGGTTTTGTTTGTTGAGCAGATCAGCAGTAGCAACTTTTACCATATTTTAGCCAAAAACTCAGTATCGAAAACTTTAGCTGCTGTATTTAACCACCGAAATAAGCAGCTGTTATACAACTTGCTGTCCAATTTTTACTGTTGTTGTTGTTGTAGCGGTTCGCTAACCCCGCTTAGGCACAGGTTTATGCAGTCTAAGTCGCCGAGGTCATCTAGTGGTAGGTCCAGGAAACGAGCTGTTTCGACGGGGTTGGACCAAAGTTAGAGGGGGGTTAGATGAGTGGGTTTGAGGGGGCATGTGAAGAGGTGGTTAGTGTCGTGCGGGGACTCTCCACATGCCGGGCATACGTTAGGTATGCTGGGGTCTAGTCTGGATAGGTAGGAGTTTAACCTGCTACAATATCCAGACCTGAGCTGTGTCAGGGTCACGCGGGTCTCTCGAGACAGCTCGAGCTCGTTGTCTGCTATGGCCGGCCGGCCGGCCAATTGCTTTGTAAGTAGCCAGCAAAGTTTCTTTATCTTTACCCCGGGTACTGCCGGCTAGCGCTTTGAGTATTTTGTTGCGGCTCTGGAGTTTTGCGGCAATTGCGGTCGTATGCGGAGTGAAGGAGTGCAGGCTATCTAGAGTTACTCCCAATATTTTTGGGTTATTTATCGTCGGATTTTTTTCGTCATCGGCCTTTACATCCAGTTCAAGCCTGTATTCCTTCGTCCAGCTGGTGAAAAGGGTAGCCGAGGATTTTGACGGTTGGATTCGTGATTGTCTTGCAGTGAAGAAGTGGGAGAGATCAACGAGGTAGCCGTTTACTTTCGAGAGAGGTCATCAATATCCTGGCCGGACGCCATTATCGTACAGTCATCGGCATACGAGGTTAGGGAAACTCCTTCTGGTGGTGGAGGGAATTTCGATACATAAAAGTTAAACAGTAGCGGGGAGAGGACACCACCCTGCGGAACCCCCTGTTTCATTTTTCTGGGTTTAGATGTTATACCTCGGAATATTACCGATGATTGTCGACCACTCAGGTAGCCCATGACCCACCTCTGCAACCCCGGCGGTAATGAGGATTCCTCAATGTCCGTTAGTAGCACTGAATGATTGACTGTATCAAAAGCTTTTGACAAGTCCAGTGCTACTAGGACAGTTCGCGCGCAGGGACGGTTTTGGTTGAGGCCATGGACTATCTGGGTGTTTATGGCGTTAAGTGCTGTTGTGGTGCTGTGCACTTTTCGGAAGCCATGCTGATGCGCTGCTGGACGCAGGTGGTGAGTGAAGGTCGGGAGCATTAAGGCCTCAAGTGTCTTCGCTACTGGGGAGAGGAGAGTTATCGGCCGATAGGACTCTCCTTTGTTGGCTGGTTTCCCCGGTTTAAGTAGCGGGACCACCCTACCCATTTTCCACACGTCGGATATCTTCAGGGTGGTCAGAGACAAATTGAGGACCCTCGCGAGAAATTCTGCTCCCGCTGGTCCAAGACGTTTCATCATCAGCATGCTCATTCCGTCGGGGTCGATGGATTTGGAGGCTTTCGCCTTCCCGATGACCCCCTGAACCTCCTCCCTGGAGAAATCAAGCACCGCGCTGGTGTTTGGCAGTTTGCGCATACGGCGGGTCACACGTCGTTTCGCTTTGTCTACCGAGGGATGCAATGTAAAAAGTCGGCTAAAATAGCTCGCGCATCTCTTCGGGTCCGACGAGGAGCGATCACCGAATGAAATTTCCACCCGGTCATCGCGTCTCGTCGGGTTAGACAGCGACTTGACTGTAGCCCAGAGCTTGGTTGCCCCAGAGGAGAGGTTGCAGGTCCTTAGGTGTTCCTCCCACTTTTTCCGCTTATGACTGTTAACAACTCTTCGAATCTCCGCGTTTAAATCCCTGATTAGGGGATTCCCGGGATCGGAGCTTCGGAGGGTGTCGCGCTTGTTTGCTAGTACCGCCGCTTCTGTCGAAAAATTTGGGCGGATTTCCGCGATTCGGCCTGCCGGGATGAAGCGGGCGGCAGCGGTCACGACGACCCTGCGGAATGAGCGTTCACCAGCGGTGACGTCAATTGGAGTGGGAAGAGCACTAAAGGCGTTCTCGGTAAATTCCGTGAATCCGGGCCAGTTAGCTTTTTTAAAGTTAACGAAAGTCCGGTGGTCCGCGGAAACAAAGTCGGGAGGCCTGTCAATCGAGATTTGTATGGGCAAGTGGTCCGATGCTAACGTCAGTATAGGTCGCCAGACTATACTGTTTATCAGACCAGCACTCGCAATTGTTATGTCTGGCGAGCTTTGGCAATTACCCATAACTCTGGTGGGGGTGTTGTCGTTCATTGTGCAGAATGTCGAATCGTCTATCTGTTCCGCCAGCTCCATTCCTCTACGGTCATTTGACAGGCTAGAATGCCAAAGATCGTGATGCGCGTTAAAGTCGCCCAAAACCAAACGGTTTTCGCCCCTGAGTAGCGCACCTATGTCAGGGGTGTATCCAGCTGGGCAACTGGGTAGTATCCCTGCGGTCGATGTCGCCATCGATGAGACGATACTGCACGGTGTTGTGCAGGATGAACGCTAAGCCCCCACCATGGTCTCGCTCGCGATCATTGCGGATTATGTTGTATCCGGCCCTGTTCAGAAGATCTGATCGGGCGGTCAACTTGGTTTCCTGGATAGCAGCAATTGACAGGTGCTCCCGGCTCATATAGTCGACTATCTCGTCAATCTTTCCCTGGAGTCCGTTGCAGTTAAGTTGTAGAAGTCGGGTCTGTCTCGGGGGAACGTTCGTGATTCGGGGGGTGAGGGAGTGATGCGTGGATGGTGTGTGTTGCTGCTGTACTACCCGCGAGAGTTGGTTCCGCACATTGGTGTTGATTGGCGAAGGGTTTGTAGAGACATGCGGGGGCAGACTCCTACAGCACGGGGCAACATACGCATCGCTCCACTCACGGGTGGTGCGCAGGCCAGAGCACGTCCGAAAGTGACACCAGCCAGAGCAGAAGTTGCATCTGACTGAGGTCACGTTCCGACGCACTATGGTCGGACACACGGAACAGACGGTGCGGGGGACTAGGAGCTGCTGGGTAGCCCTCGCACGGGAGGAGGATGAGGAGCTGGTTGTGGGTGGGGATGGGGGTGGAGGGAATCATGCTGCGGGGAGCTCCGTAAGACCGGGGAGGTCTGCAGATTACCCAGAGTGGGTATGTGTGCTGAAGACACTGCCGTGGAGGCTGGGGGGCGGTTGGACGCTGGCTGCATGGGGCCACATAACTCGTGGTCCATTCCCTGTGGGTCTTAAGGCCTGAGCAGGTCTTAAGATGACTCCAACCATTGCACTGGGTGCATCTAACCGAGGTGGATGAGTGGTGGAGTCTTCTTTGACACACGCAGCAGGTAAAATCCGGGTCAACTCCGGTGCGTAGAACCGGCTGTCGTGAGAGTTGTACTGACATTTCCAATTTTTACTGACATTTCTCAATGAACACAGCTTACATAGTAGGCGATTCCTCACTATTGTCCTATTAAACTACGATTAGCAGCAGATGTAAATAGAAGCACCTTTTTCGTTTCGACACAATTTTAATTACAGGCATTTATAGGTTTTGGAATGTAAAGCAAAAAGTTGGTATTTAACTTTTAACTCTTACTGTTTCTTATTCGTAAAATTAATTTCCGCAATGTAGGTATATAAAATTTACAGGGGAATACTCTGGGTTCTCTTCGGTGAATATTCGAATTTTCATGTCCGGAATTTCGAAGCGAATTTTATGTGGAGTTCTTCTAATCTCGTTATAAACATCAATAATACATATATCCCAAAATGTTTTGCATTAGACATAGAATGGATTAAATACCAACCACGATTGGTAAATATGCATGTACTATATTGGAAGGATGGTTTCCAAAATATGCAGAAAACTATGGAAGGCGGTTTACATTTCATTCCAAATTTTATTTATCGTCGTATTGAAGACCATAGCAAACGATAAATGATTCATCATATTAGTTCAAATAACAATATTCATTAATAAGCATCAACTCGAGGAGGATCTGCGAATAGTTCTTCCTTTTTGCGATCACCAAAATAATATTGTTTTAAACGTTCATTACGCATTGCCTGCAATACATACAATACATAAATATTAAATTTAATTTCCAATTTTTCCGTATTTTCTATTCCAATTACACACTCCGAATACTTACATGGAATCTCAAAAGCTGTTTCCGCGCACCTAAGCATTCACGGAAATCGGCTATGATATCGGCACACATCTTTTCTCCTCTTTCAACTCCATAAGCTTCTAGGCAGTCCATCATTTCCATTTCCATCTTACCACATTTTTCGTAACTCTGATGATTGACCAGGCAACCAGTTAAATCAGTAAATGGAGTGCGCAAAAATGGTCCCAGAGACATGGCGGCTGCTGCAAAACAATAGCAAATTTTTTTTTTATTAATCCTTAAGACCTTCAAAGGCGTGTTTACTATAAGCGGTCTTTAAAAAAAAAAGCAAAAGCCACTAATTTATTTTTTTTGATAAAGTGACGTAACATTCCAGTTAGCTTAAGGCTTGCTAATAGAAGCTTTAAAATTATCTCAAATCGACTTAAGTTATTACATGGTGGTTATTTTAATTTGCACTCTACTAATCACTCACCTATTTATATAGAACTTTTTGTGTTTTGTAGGAATTTTACCAACTGAAAATTGTATCAATTAAATTTTTGTTGCTTTCGAGATGTCAAATCATACAGCTGTTTTTTTGACAGCACGATAATACAATGTCGGCAATGCAACGTTTAACCACGTTTGATTTGATTAATAATCGGTAAGGCAGTCTATTCGTATATTTACCGGCTGAAGCATAGGATTCAGTGAAACTTTGATGTAAAAATGAAAAATCAGGATCTTGTGGATTATCTTAAGGAGTGCGGCGTTTGTTTGTTTTGTCAATTACGTTATCTCAAAGCCCGTGGTAATGAATATCAAAACAAACAAGAATATTTTGAAAAGGTAAATATGCCAAAATATTTTTTTTTATGTCTTATTAATTTAAATGTCGCAGGTTAACGTTCTGTATGAAGAGGATTCAGGTTGCATAGAATATGCTCCCACAAATAAAAAGAAACGTCGTAACGTCTGTCCAACTTGTCTTGACCTTTTTTCCGACGATTTTCGAGATCAACTTCTCCTCTCTATATCTAGTACTGATATTGGAAAATATGATTGTGATGGTATTGTTATTGCCATGAGTATACCAATAATACTCCAGTTACGGCAGCTGTCCATGTGGTACGCATTGATAGATAAATTCGGCGATAATGTTAGCTTGGATCGCACTCCGGATGTCTCATTAAAAGAAGCAATAAAATTGATTTTGAATCCAACTATTTGCGAAAAGCTGAAGAAATCCTATGATATAAACAATGGCCTTATGGTGACAATAAATTTAAGTCATTCACAAGAAGAAGAAGGGATCACCAGACTAGAAAAGTTAAACAATATAGTTAATCCAAGAAAAAGGGGTGAAAAGTATGAAAAAATTTCAAGATCGTTGATTGAAAGAAAATACACACCTGCAAGAGTAAGCTCAGAATTATTCAAAGAAATATTTGACGTGCCCCCTCTAATATCAAATGAAGGCCTTAAATTTGATTCTATTTCTCTATTGGGCCCATCAGTCTATGTTGCTGGGAGATATAGAAAGATTTCACGCAAACTGTCACATACACCATGGGTTTTAAATGGTGAGAGGGTGATGGATGATAGTATAGAGGAGATTATTAATCGTAATATCGCTAATTATTTTTGGTAACTATACTTTCCTTTTAATATAAAAAATTTGTATTTTCCATCATTTTTTATTGCAGTAGCGATCCCAAAAAAGTAAATTTTATGTCAAGTGGTAGAGAGGATGTAGATGTGCGCTGTCTTGGAGCTGGACGACCATTTGTGTTGGAAATACCAAATGCTTTACAATCATCACTGAACTCAGAAAAAGCCCGACAAATGGAAGATAATATAGATAAATCACAAAAAGTATCTGTTCGCGATATCCAGATGGTGAAGCGGGAGGACTTATCACATATAAAAATGGGAGAGGAACATAAACGAAAATGCTATAGAGCACTTTGTCAAATCGGAAGTGTGGCGACGATTGATATGTTAAGGAAATTGGATTTGCAGCAAGGTTTTGAAATACAGCAGAAGACACCTATACGTGTACTACATCGACGGCCACTTCATACACGACCTCGAACAGTATATAGTTTGAAGGCATCAGTTTGTCAACAAAATAAATGTTTAATAATACTTGATATTGTAACTCAAGCGGGTACTTATATCAAAGAACTGGTCCATGGCGAATTCGGACGAACCATACCATCAGTGGCATCACTGCTAGGACAACCTATTGATATTGTAGCGCTAGATGTTATGGAAATAGATTTAGATTGGCCACCGTCAATATCTGTTTAAAATTTATGTATGTATGTATATTTAATGTTTTATGCTTTAGAAATTAGATATTCGAGCCAAATAAAAATGAACACTATTGCAATAACCACAATAACAATAGGTCTTTAATAATTTATGAAGTCCAACAACCTTTTTTATTTAAAAATATGTATGTACTGCCATGATGTGTTTACAAGAAGTGCTTATCACTTCTTTACAAATGAGATTAAATTGGGTAAAAAATTCAGTGCAAGGGTTTTTTATTGAACTGTGTATCTATGATAACATCTTTAATTTAGCGTTAATTACAAATATTTTTGGCGCTTATATCAGGCATCCAATTGAATCCGTCCTTGTTAACAATGGCGACTTTAAAATTTTTTTGATTTATTACCAGGCGCTTTTGTATTTCCTTAACGCAATGCTCAAGAATTGTATAAGCTTCTTCTTTACTTAACCCTTTCTTGTATTCTCTATCAAAAATACTTTGACAAAACATAGCGCCGTAACCTTGTCCACTATACTTTACTTCGACAGAATTAGCCAAGTAGTCGAGAAAATACAATGCTGCTTTCTGCGTTTGTTCATCGTAGCTAAAAACGTATTCGTTATAAATACTTTTTATTATACAATTAATATATATTGTATTTACCCAGCAATCATCATGTTCACTTGGTAAGGTGTTCTGCTACGGAGATAATCTGCAAGATTTTTCCGAGTAAAATGGGCGGCCTCCTGTGGAGACAATTCATAATTGTTGCGCATCTTGTAGAGAGCGATATTTTTGGATATGAATTCCGTAAACTGCACGGTATCACCCGATTCTCCCATCGTGGCAAATACAAGACTATTGGAAATCTTGTGAATTTTGTTTTCATCTACATTACGGGTATACCGAGATTTAGATACCTAAAATTTTTAAGAAAAATTCATTTACCTTCTTTCATTACAACTATAGATCGAGCCTGCGTTGTCTCAGCAGCCACAATGGCAAAATCTTCCCCACGTATACCCAAAATTGTCTCCATTTCTATTAATTAAATAGCACTATCCAATATAACTTAATTCGACGACAAGTATAAAATTTCCAAACAGAAACTTATAGCCGGGAATGACAAGTCAATTCATCATATAAAGTGAAGTTGGCTGCTACAAAATCGCTGTCGATAATGTCTTTCTAATATGTACAGTGCTCAATTGAAGTCAAGACACCGTAGCATATTTAAAATAGAGCTTAGTAGAGAAACAATTGGGGCAATCAACTTCGAGTTTATGGAAAATGTAATAAGCTGTGGGTTTATATATAATTTTAGCTTTTGCACCAGCTGAAGCGATTTTCGGCCGATCTAATTCTCTAATGTGTAGTTTTGCGATTTGTTTTTCCAACAAATGTAGGGATCTACAGTGTATATTAACATTAAGACCCCTTCGAACGACTGATAGTTTTCTGAGGAACCTTTTATTTCATGTCAGAACTACACTCGGTGTGGTTGGCATTACCTGCCGTGACCGCAATTAGAAATTTTAACCTATTTTATTATTTAATTCAATTTTTTATAACTTTTGAACTAGGGCTTACCACAAAAAAAAATGTCCATCAACTTTGGGATTTTTTTTTAACAATTCAGTAATCGAACTCGAAGGATTTGAATAATCATCAAGGTTAACTTACAATAGAAAATAGTTACAATATTTAATTTTATTATTTTTATTAATTTGCCATTTATCCCAAGCAAATTTTTACAGAATTTTCGTCAAATCGTTTCAATTCAACGTTTTGAGTTTAATTACGAACTTTAACTCTGAATAACGATATCTTTTAAAAGAAACAAATGAACCAATTTGTCTTAAGTACATCTTCCGCAGCTTACTTATTTTGTAAAGTCATTAAAATAAATTTTACGGTAGAAATATGGTATCTCACCAGTTGATGACAAGCAGAGAACGTATTATTATACGTTCTCCGTGACACGTTTACACATTACTACCAACCTGTTTTGACACCTCACTACGTTTATTGTGAAGAAGAAGAATTAGTGCAACAACTGAAAATCACTTTCTTTTCTATATTTTTTTTAGTGCATGCGTGGTCAACTTATAAATATATAAATACTTAAAGAAACATCATAAGATTATACACAATAATTGCTGTACTTATTTATATTAGTGAAATGTCGGATCAAGTGGCGGAAACTGTAGCAGAAGCCGTAAAAGATGCGGTGGAGAATGCAACCAGTGAAACTATAACAAATGAAAAAATTCCTGCCACGCCAGAAGGCATCATAGTAGCTTATGGTAGTCTAGTGGTTATGGCTATGCTTCCAATTGTATTTGGTTCAATACGTTCCGTAAAACTGCACAAGCTTAAGAAGGCAAGTGTTACTACATGTAAACAAATCCGAGATCTAAGCACGAAATACATATATTGGATCCCATCATTAAACATTAAGGATAAGAAAACTTATCTTAAATTTTTTCTTTCAGGTGAGCGGAGAAAAGGCAGAAACAATGACCAAAAAGGATGCGATGTTTTTCCCTATCATCGCGAGTGCTGCACTTTTTGGACTTTATATGTTCTTCAAGATTTTTTCCAAAGATCATATAAATCTTCTTCTAACTGGTTACTTTTTCTGTTTGGGTGTCATTGCATTAGCCCACCTTCTTAGTCCTATTGTTAATTCATTAATGCCCACAGCTGTGCCGAAAATACCTTTTCATATGCACTTCACTAAAGGTGAGGGCAAGCACAAAGAGGATATTATAAATTATAAGTTTTCGACGCATGATATCATTTGCTTGGGCATTTCTTCAGCAATTGGCATTTGGTATTTGTATAAAAAGCACTGGATTGCTAATAACATGTTCGGATTGGCATTTGCAGTAAATGGAGTTGAATTGCTGCATCTCAATAACATTGTTACTGGATGTATATTATTAAGTGGCTTATTTTTCTATGACATATTCTGGGTCTTTGGAACAAATGTGATGGTCACAGTAGCAAAAAGTTTTGAGGCGCCAATCAAATTAGTTTTCCCTCAAGATTTGCCAACAAACGGATTAAGTGGAACAAATTTCGCCATGCTGGGATTGGGAGATATAGTTATTCCTGGCATATTTATTGCTTTACTTCTACGTTTTGATCACAGCTCCAAACGCAAAAGCCGAATTTACTTTTATTCTACATTAGTAGCATACTTCCTTGGGCTATTGGCTACTATATTTGTAATGCATGTATTTAAACATGCTCAACCTGCATTGCTTTATTTAGTTCCAGCATGTATGGGAACTCCATTGTTAGTAGCACTAGTACGAGGAGAACTGAAATCACTATTTGCGTAAGTGTAGTTTATTATGTATTGAAAAATTTAAATAGTAATTATATTACTTATTGTAGTTACGAAGATCATCCTGAGGAGAAACTTGAAAAGAAGGAGGGAAAAGATGCATCTGGTGTCAACAGTGGATCAAATAAGAAGAAAGAATCAAAGAAAGCCAAATAAAATGGAAATAGTAAATTCAAAGATTCGACAAACTTTGTGGGTTGAACCTCTAAGGTTTTCTCTTAGTGAGATAAAATGTTCATTGACATTTCAGAATGCTATTTAAGTCATGTAAATCAATCCAAGATAAAGTTAATGTAAAAATGCTGTTTTTTTTATCATACTTTCATTTAAAGCGATTCGAAAAGACTAAATCTTAGCACATATTCGATTGATTTACTATTAGTTCAAGGACTTTTATTGCGCAAATTTAATTTAAAACAAAATTACTATTCATGAAAACTTAACGCGCAAAGACATATTTAAGAATTGTACATGAAAATAAAAATTCGTATGAATTAAGTATACATTTTAAGAATAAATTTATATTTCTAAATTAAAATACAATAAATAAAAAAGAATTACTACACCTAGCGAAGTTTTTAAAAACTTCTTTCTTTTTTATTCAAATTACTGTTGTTGTTATTACATTTATTTGATGCAATATATATAAAACAAACTAATAGATAAGTTTATTCAAATTAAATATTAGAAAGTTTCTAATTGTTCAAGTGGTAGCCATTTAGAACTCTCAAGAGCGTCATACAATAAACGGTCGGCATCCAATGTGTCCCGATTTAACTTATCTATATCTAATATATATTTGTGTTCTACCAAGGCATAATCATCATCTTCAACGGCATTTGGGGCATTATTTGCAGCAGCTGCTGCCGCTTGTTGTTGTTCATATTGAGCGGTTCGCTGTGCACTCCATGCCTCTGCGTGTTGTGCTAATGTTTGCGGGTTTGCATGAGATTGTGCCATTGATTGCTGATAGTAGGCGCTATTTGGATCTGTCATAGCCCCTGTTCCACTTTGATCATAGTATCCTTGCCAAGAGTTGTAATTCTGCCAATATGTGCTTGTTGGGTCGTAATATTGCGAATAGTCTGGGGTTGTTGTTGTAGCCGAAGGCACAGTACCCATACCGACACCGCCATAGCCATAGTTACTGGTTGTACCCAGTGCTACGCCTAATTCATTCTTTGGTTTTGGTACAGCGTTACAAATTTTAATAGGCTTTGTGCCTAAGCCGATATATCCATTCATATCATACAAAGCAGACTTTTGTTCATCCTCTATACCAAATCTTACGAAACCATATCCTTTTGAAAATCCGGAACTATCTAAAATTACTTTTGCTGTTTTGATTGAAGTATATTTTGTGGAAAACACTTTATACAATTGATAATCATCAACATCTGAGCTTAGGTCACCAACCCATACGCTGAATTCTCGCTCATTTCCTGGCAATTTATATGAATTGCTTGCGCTATTCAATCGAAAACGTACAATCGGATTCGTTCCAGGTATAGGCTTGCCATTCAATTTATGCATAGCATCCATGGCACTCTCATCAGTAGCGAAATTGACAAAGCAATATCCGGCCGGCTCCCCCGTATACTTGTTCCTCATTAGACGTACGGTAGTCGGTTCTTCGCCCATTTTTCGAAATGCTGCTATTATAAAGTTTTCAGTCATATATGGCTCCAACTGTAATTATTTAATAGTATTAAATAGATTTCTCAATTAACATATGTATGTATGTATAAATATTTTTCCTTTACTTACACTCCCCATCCATAACTGGCAATGAACGGAGGACGACATCCTGGCTTTAATAGTTACAGAATAAAAATAACTAATGACCAGAAAATTTAGCTGCTACTTTGAATGGGATTTAAAAACCTATTTGCAAAAAATCGATTTACTTTTAAAGAACACTAAATAATACTTATCAGCAAAGATATGCATACGAAACTGTTGTATTTGATAGCACATCTAAAATTTAGTTTAGAATAGATGGTAAATCACAATAGAATGCAACTGTCAAATTTGTCGATAATGAAGATTTTGTCAATACTGGCATCTAAATTGTTGAGTAAACTTGCTCCGGTGGCATTATGACATTTGCGCATATGGGCACTTGGGTACATTTGCAAGAATATTAACAAAAGGTTTAAGATGCCGAAAAAGAAAACTGGCCAACGAAAGAAAGCTGAAAAGCAGAAACTGCGTCTAAAGGAGATCAGGAGTCGTGAAATACCACTTGCAGATATGCCTTGTAATGCGCCAATGGAATGTGAAAAATGTGAGAAGAAGCAGAAGAGTAGAGCGTTTTGCTACTTCTGCCAAAGTGTTCAGCGCTTGCCAATATGCGCTCATTGCGGGAAGGTAAAGTGTATGTTAAAAACAGGTGATTGTGTCGTAAAACATCCTGGTGTATTCACAACTGGCCTTGGTATGGTTGGCGCAATTTGTGATTTCTGTGAAGCTTGGGTTTGTCACGGACGAAAGTGCCTTCAGTCACATGCTTGCACTTGCCCACTGCAGAATGCTATTTGTCTCGAGTGCGAACGCGGAGTGTGGGAACATGGTGGTCGTATTTTCAAATGTTCATTTTGCGATGGATTCTTATGCGAAGATGATCAATTTGAGCATCAAGCATCATGTCAGGTACTTGAATCGGAGAACTTTAAATGTCAGAGTTGCAATCGTCTGGGCCAATATTCATGTTTGCGCTGCAAAACATGTTATTGTGAGGATCATGTTCGTAGGAAAGGATTTAAATATGAAAAAAATAAAGCCATTCCATGTCCAAAATGTAACTATGAAACCTCGGTGACAAAGGATTTGAGTATGTCCACAAGATCTCATAAGTTTGGTCGGCAACAACAGGGTGGACCAGTAGATAGCGATGACGAATATGGCGGATATTCCTATTATGGGGCGGGAGCCTATGGTGTTGATGCTGGTACAAGTTATACTCAAGATGATGAGAGCGACGACGATGATGATTATGACGTTAGCGAGGAGGACAGTGAGGAAGATGATTCGGAAAGCGACAAGTCACAAGAAACGGAGAAAACCAAATCAACTTAAATAAAAAAATAAAAACCTTTTTTATTGAACATTTTGTGACATCTATCATTTCAACAAAAATTTCAGATGTAGTCGAATTTCCTATAAGTTTATGAATTTTCCGATTCTTTAAATCTGTAAAATAAAGGAATACATATTCAAAAACAGTGCATTTACAAAGAAACTTGATTTTTATACTTACTTGCATTTAAGGCAGGTGAAGAATACCGTTTGTCCTTCATCGGCCGAACGCAGCTGTAATGTTGCATATGACATTTGCATGTGACCACATTTTGAACATTTACGTTCGACAACAGGTCCTTCGGCTTCATCGTCTGAATTGCTCTTATTTTTTCCAAATACTCTTTCGGGATCATAACTATTAAAATGTATGGTGTAGTCCACTTCTTGGGCTCCGAAAACTAAACAAAATCAGCCTTAGTAATAATTAATTTTCAGTTAAACATTTTATTTCGACTTACCCTCTGGATGAAATTCCTTTTTGCAGTTGTAACATACAACATTCCCCACTGTGTTTAAAGGTGGCAGGATGGAACCACACACAGGACAAAAGCCGGGTTGAGAGTTGAATATTTCCATGCTTATGTTTTGAATGTAGCACCAGGTAGCACTGCTAATAAACCCAGCTGAGACGTACACACGTGAAAGTTGTGTTAGTTTGTTTTGTTAGTTCACGGTAATTAATATTCTCCATAATAAAGTACGTCGATAAAAAAGTGACAGTGACCCAATAGGAAAGCTCATGGCAACATAAAATATCGTTTAGCTTATGCATCGAATGAAAAAAATTACACACAAATTTTCGAATTCTAAGCAAAGTTTAAATAAGTACTAATTTTGTTATTATTTTCAAGTATGAAACTGATTGAAAAATTCCTCTTTCAAATTGCTTTTTGCACATTTTATCTCATGTGTCTTTTTCTATCACAATCTTCAAAAAGTATTCATATGTTCTTATTTTATAACACAAATTCCAATTGAGATACGGAAAAATGTCTACATATATTTTCGTCTTCAGTAATTCACTAATTTTCAAACTTCATTATTCTCGGATTCGTATCAACCGCAACTGTTTTATTTTCAATATTAGTACAATTATATGAATTGCTGGTTTTTTATGAAGTTGCTCCACATCTGGCGCAGCAGAATTGTAAAAGTTTATTTTCTAAAAGTATAGGCCCGCAGCTATAACTTGGATAAAGTTAGAATTACCGTTTTTAGCATAGGATTGCAGATTACCTCAAAACTAAAATTAGATATATGTGTATGTAAATACATCTTAGCTTTACACCAACGATATAATCATTAATAATTCCCGTTAGCAGCAGTGACTCTAAATCATAGGAACACGTGTATGATTTTTTTTGGATAGTGAAAATCCATAAACACGAACAATAACGTCCTCACATTTTTGTTATGGAGACCTATGTACATACATATCTTAATACACATGGATACTTCGTTCTGCAGAGCTATGAGTCATTTAATGCACAAAATTCGAATGTTAGTAGCTGCCCCAACTGACCATGAACTTTATACGTATGAATATATATATAGTGGGACATACATGCGCAAATGTAGAATATTTATTTTCGTAAGAAAATCGAACATTAAAAAAGAGTACTACTCCACACTAACTCACTGTAAATTATATGTAAAATAGAATATGCAAACTAAAAACTGTTGCTGCAGGCTATAAAGTTTTATAATATTAAAGGAGGGCAGAATACATGCACATCTATTGTACGCAATAAACCCAGTAAAAAATTCGAGAAGACATGAATTTGTATGTGTACATATATACATAAATAGAAAATTACACATCCATGTGCCGGCAATTGTCCTACTATCAGCCTAGCATCAGCTTCATACTAGTTGTATTCTAGTTCATTTAGGTATTTTGAATTTCTACTTCACCAAAAAAGTAAAGAAAAATAAATAAAATAAATATGAGATTGCCGGCTGCGAGAATCGAACCGAGACCCTTACGTACCGGAGTGAAGACCTCTAACCATTGGGCTACCGTCATGCCATAGAAGTAACGAAATCAGCGTACTTCACCATAACCTTTTAGGAAATGAAACTTAGCCGTGGAGCACTAAAAACAAAAACAAACATATCCATGGTGGAAACTAAAAAAAAAAATGAGATTAAAATATAATTTGCTTTAGCTGGATTCAAACCGGGAGCCTAAAGGTCTACAACGATAACCTCTAACCACTCAGCTATCATGACGATATAACGATTAATGTCGTTTTGTGCACTTCAATAGAACAGAGAGAGAATGAAATTAAGCCGCGGCGTGCCAATATAACAACAACAAATGGTGGTGGAAATTGTTATTTCTCCCGTTACTAGTGGATGTTTTTACAAATAATAAACTGGTATAATTTCATCTTCTACATACTAGTATTTAACTAGAGGTTTTGTTTCAATACTTTTTAGATGTATGGTCTTTTAAAGTCAAGAAGCAAACAAGTTTAAGATCAAGAAGAGCTTAGGACTTTTGTTTATTATGTAATTCATACCAGTTGTGACTTGCGAGTGTGAGATCTAAGACAAAAATGTTAAGATAATTTTGTAGGATTTTTGTGTTTGACCGTTGGAAAGCTTATGTATCTACTATCGAGACGAAGATAGGCTTGAACACAGGTCAGAAAAACGTCTTTGGAGTACAATTGTGGCCCTTTACCAACACTAATTCATACAACCACAAAGTTTGCGAAAAATTGGCGCATTTATTCTTAAATATGTGTCGCTTTTGACTGCAGCTCGAATATATGTATATATTTAAGTATGTATATAAGTATGAAAATATACATACATACATGTACATGAGTGTAGGACGAGCACAACCTCTATGACACTTTGACCGAAATCAGATGACTCATTGTCAAAGCAGTTTGAATGGTAACACACTTAGCGAGCTGACATTGGCTCCTATATGTATATAATATGTATGGAGCTGCTCGTTTGTATATTGCACATACATGTATATTTATATATACATATATTTGCATATATTTATATTAGCTGAAGCAAAAGATTTTGGAAAGTGGTAAAGAACAAGTTGGCTTCTTTGACATTCCCTGATTGTGCTAAACAACAAAAATAAGAATGGACTAGCGCACGTTAGCTGCGCTGAAGAAGAATATGTATGTGTGCTATTCATATATATGTATCTGCATTATGATGCAAGTCTTACCCAACTGTTATACGCACTTCATATAGGCTAACTAACATATACTGTTATTTCATCATCATCACAAAGAGAGTTTGTTTCTCTGATAATAATATATTTTGCTGCAAGATGGGTAGAAATTGCAATAATAAGAGATTGTTGCAGAGAAATGAGGTTGTGTATGGTGATTGAGCTTATATAGTTTGGGAGAGAGATAGAATAATGTTTTTGATTTATCAAGTATCTAAATATTTTTATGTCGCATGTTATAGTACATTCATACATACCTTCATTCATTTTATACTTTATGTACGAATATATTTATTTGATGCATATCCATAAATATGTACATATATATATATATATATATGTGTGTGTATGTACTTATTGCCATTGTCAGAAGAACATGCCGGTACAGTTAAGCCGATTCGCTATAGTTCTAATTATGGTAACGCCGAATGCGCTCCCTACCGTTTGAAGAGCAGCAGAGCAGTACGCTTCGTTCGTTTTCAAACTTACATATGTACATACATATATACATATGTATTAAAATATGAAGATAAACGAAGTGACGAATATCGGTGCATCTGATGCAATAAGTGTGATTGATTTTGCAGAATATACCGAACAGGGACTCGGGTATAATATTTATAAAGCTGTTAAATATGATTCTAGTACTTAGTTACATGTTTTTTTATTTGCATACAGGTACATGGTAGTTAGCAGTAAGAGTACTGGATCAATCACATATGTACCTACATACATAAACTATAGTCCCTAAATTTGAATAAAAGTCAGCAGAACGCAAACCACAACGATCATTCAAGTGCAGGTATGAAAAATGAATGTACTTACATCCATACGCATTATTAAAATGTAATGTAAAATTATAACCATTGGCACAATATATGACTATATCATATGTTTGTTTATTTATGTACACATATGTACATATAGGTATGAATGTAAGCATGTGCACATGCAATTATTTATTTTGAAATGAGATATCTTTACACTTTAGTTCTGTTTACCTCAGTGTCTGCGAATGCATGTATGGAAGTACATACATACATACATGTGTGCACATACGAGTATGTAGTTACGAACACATCCATATTTATCAATATACACACACATGCATGTAAACACATTCGCGTAACAACGTCAACAACATGTGCAAAATTTGGCTGATTCATTGTCTGCCGATGCAAGTATCTCCTTGAAGTGAGCGAGCTCAGTGAGGGAGTAACGTCGGTTGTGGCAGACATGCCTACCGACCACGAATTTAAGAGAGCGATACAGCTGAGAATAACCTTTGGAAAGGCGCAAACGCAAGGATTAAATAAAAATATAAAATTAGTAATATCTGCCCATCAACACAAAATTCAAAAAACACTCACATACATGCGTTCACATTAAGGTGTTCGCTAATTACCGGTTTTCACTTCTTTTAAAATATATGTGCGTTTTTTGAAAGATTTCACGTGCCTCTATAATGTAGTACACCACTCCGTATAAGTAACTTAATTAACTTTACTTATCTACGTATGTATGTATAAGGCTTAGGACATGAGCAAACTAGACTACCTAGTTAAGTAGAAGACCATTTTATCAATCATGAGAAATCAGACTGATAGTCAGAATTCAATGGAATAATTGCTAGCTGCGTCTTCCCTTGTTACGCGGTCAAGAATATGGAGATAGGCTTTACGTCCACTTCCGAGAATGAAAGGTACAAAATAAATTTACCGAGATAAAAATTCGACAACCATCATTTTTTTTTAAATAATCGGCAACTGATACATTTCACGAAAAAAACACACACAGATCATAAATAGGGAGAAGAAATCGTGAGCAAATTGCTTCTGCGAGAAATAGCGTACACCCTAATGTGCGTGTAAGAACTTCGCGGAGACTTAAGAGAACTTTTATACAAGTACATACATACATATGTACATATATGCATTGAAAGAAATGTGCGAGCAATTTTAGCGACATTTGACGAACAGTGAAGTTGAGAATAAACATTCCACAAATATGCGAAAATATACACACATTCAAAGTACACAGAAAAAATACATAACAAACAAAGTATTAAATGCACCAGGATGTGTGCAAATACGTACCTGGTGACAAAGTACCATTTTTTTAAATGATAATTTGTTTTTATATATGTACGAGTATGTATGTACATAATTATAATTTTGCATGGGCTTGTATGTGGTGTGTGCTAATGCAAATAAGGATGTGTACTTTACTTCTGCATACTTATTTGTGTATGTAAGTGCATACATATTTATTTGCGTACATCATTTGTATACAACTTTCCGAACAACAAACGTAGATACATACAAACGATGTACAACAGTCTTGAGTCTGCAAAATAAAATGAATACAATAAACTGTTAAAACTAACATTTGAAGCGTCAAGTACAACGATAATGAGCACATACGTGTAATGTAGAGAGCAGAGCGCAACAGCAGTGTCAAAGCAGTGTAGCGAACGCAGCGAATGTGACAGAGCAGCGAAATCGTTGAATATGACATAAAGAGCCTAAATGCAACATCTGCTCCTTGCCAAACAAACAGTTCGAGTCCGTCATCAGCCGCCACAAGAGTTTATAATTAATTCGACCGTAAGAAGTGCAAGAAGTACCAATTATTTCTGTATTTCCAAACTCAAAAAAGAGCAGATTTTTCCATTTTTTTGAATATAAAAATTTTGTGAATTTATTAGCAAAGTTGCAAAACCGGAAGGATTCATTTGAAGACTGAAATTTGTTGGAGAATAATTATTATTTCTGACTTTAGAAACCTTAACTAAAACTAAATTTGTTCTTGTGGAATTGAATGTTTAAAAAAATTATAGCGAGAAGTGTTAGAGAATTTAAATTTCTTTGAGAGGAATTTATTGTAAAAATATTGGCTTAAAAACTTTCTGAAGAAAAAAGGACAAAAAGTTAAATAAAAAATCGATTGATTGACGGAGTCTGTGAAAATTTCTTCCAATTATTCAGTGCGCAGCGTTGAAAATTCGATAAAACCCACACAACAATTCAGTAAAGGAAAACGCGAATAACAGAGGCTCGTGCGAACAAATTCCACGGCGAGTGACTACCTACTATATACCTACTACTTATCTACCTACCTACCTTCCTACCATATGTGTGGTGGCTGCTCGCCAATGCATATCAGCAAAAATCACACATAGCACAGTCTAAATAAAAGAGGTACAAAAACAACGACGGTGACAACAACGCATCAACAGCAGCTGTTACGAGAACTGCAACACAATACGAATAATACGACGAATACGAAGAAACCTGCAGCAAGAAGCCGATAGAATTATACATCATAAGAGGACTATTAATATTGGCACGAGGAGTCTGGCCGGACTGTTGTAAAAGTATTTATACATACATACCAACAAATACTATACATGCATGTATATTAGTACACTTAATCGGAGAGTAAAATAAAAAAAAAAATATTGAAAAAAGAATAAGACTGCCCGTGGACGTGTATTTGCATCGATAGTCATTTCTTACTGTACGGAACTCTGAAATAATCGTTTAAGTTTGAACGGGGTTTGGCCGGTGGAGGTGCTCCGGGGGGCAACAGAAGGCGTAATATCCGCTTGAATACTTCAAGCTAATCTCAGTTTTCAGTGAGAATTCGAAAATCAATAGCGCCTTAACTTAAAATTAAATAATTTAAATACAAGTACATACATACATATAAAATAACTCATAAACTCCGCTTCAAATATTATTTGGAAAATTTCAGACAAATACTAAAACATATTAAACGTAACACAAGATTCGCCTCCCGTCATCTCCAACTAAAAAGGCCAACCCAATTGAAAGATAAAAAATAATAATTTTTTTTTATACATTCTTGAATAAAGTACCATATAATTAAAAAAATTAGTAAGTCATAAAAGACAACACAAAAACTTGATTTAAAAGGACAAATAAACTATAAAAATCGTGGAAACTTTTAAGCTAAAAATAAATAAAATTAAAATAATAACCGTTTAGTAAATTTAAAAATAAAAAATACACCATACTAAAGAATAATTAAAATCTGTGATTATCTTAATTTTACATTTCAATTCTTTCAAAAAGAAATATAAAACAATAATAAACGGTAATATAAAAAATAATTTTCATTAATCGCCTTTTACGCGTCTTAATAATATTAATTAACAATTATAAAAAGTATATATTTCGGAATAAACATAAATTAATAAAATAATCTTGAGAAGAAACGTAAATTCTGTGAGCAGAGAAGAAAAAATCGAAAGTATATCTTTACAAAAACCCGTTGGATTATAATTGTTTGTAAGTATGTAGGACATAAACATTAATTAACAATTTAAACAAATAAATACATATATATATACATTTACATACATATATATGTATATTTGTAAATGGCCAATGAATATCATGCAAATTAAAGCTTTTTTATCTGCATCTGTTCACCTTTTCAATACACTTGTTCCTGTCTGTTGTTTTTGAAATTATTCAGAATTTCGCGGCATATTTTATATGTTTGTGCCTGTGTATGTACAAAAGAATATAAAACAGTTCTGCATAAAAGCACCTCTGTGGTAAAAATCAAAGTTTTTAAGGATGATTATGGTTCCATTACGGCTTCATACTGCCCGTTAAAGGCCAATTAGCGAATTCTTAACACACATAGTCATGTTACTAATTGATTTACACAGTCAGATGTCTAAAACGTGTCTAAAGCAAGCGACTTAAACTGTCGAATGAAAACATTGCTGCAGTTCTTAAAAGTTTCTGTAATGTGAGCTTTAAATTTTTAGCTTTTATATGTGTTTCTACCCTCAATTCACGTGCATATTTTTGTTAAGCATTTAACCATATATGCTTATGCATACGTAATTGTACATATGCTCGAACACACATACTGCATACATATGTATGTATATTTTATTATATTCTGACATGCAAAACGTAGTTCTTCACGGCAATTAGACTTTTTTCAAATGAGTCGCACACGCTATACATATGTTTATGTACATATGTATAGTGAAAGGAATAGATTATACAAAGTTAAGTTTTTTAAAACAAACAAATTTTCTAATACAATCCAAATATAATCATTTCTTAATTAAAAAAAAAAAACAGTTGAATAACTGTTTCAAATTTGAGCATTCAACGATTTTCCGCATTCAGGATCTTAATTATTATCATTGACCTCAAGATTGATTAGTCAATAAGTATCTCCGCCCAATTGTACTATGTACTAAAAATATGAGCATGTGGATTGTGTTTAAAAAGGGCGTAATATGGCGCTTATTGCTTACACATGCTTTTGGGGCCAAAATAATGCATAATATGTTATTGATTTTGAGTCATTGAAGATAGGTACATGCATACATATATATATACAAGAACATATGCGAATACATACATTCGTACATATCTAGGCAAAGAAATATTTTAACATTTGCGTAGAATTTAATACGACTCACGTGTTCTTCTTGAGCAAGGTGTGCGGCCTAAATATTTATTCAAATGAATTTTGATTATACATATTTAATATAACTTTAATTAATAAAAATAAAAACATAACGAATAATTTTTCTTTAATAAACAATTCAAATATATTCAATGTTATATTAATATGAATACAAACATACGTACACATATGTGCAAGGTCCATTAACACATAAAATAATTGAAATAAAATATTTCCAGAAGATTGTGTAACCATTTGGTTAAATATGACTTGGAATGGAGGATAATTAATTACAGAGTTTTTTTTATTTTTATTGAAATTCATACATACATTTACATATACATATGTAGAATTCGGGCATGATATTGAGTCTTCTTAATTAAGCTTTTCCTTATTATAAATAAAACGCTTATTCTAGGTTGTGTTGTTTCAACATTTGAATTAGTGACAGCTATTTTAATTAAGGAAATCATTCGACCACATATAGATGGCGAATATTCACATGCATTTATACCCGTATATGAAAAGTATATATAAGTTTATTAAGCATTAGATATACATTTTTACAATTATGGCAATAATAATTTATCAATGATAAGGAAAATAGTTTATTAAATGTAATTTCAATATTACCTATTGATAAACATCTACAATATAGTACGTATTTTGTTTTTATTCATCTTTTTAAATATTACACTCATTACATATGATTACTTTAAATGAAATGCTGATTACAGCTCGAAAAAACGAATTAATTTTATTACTCCTTACAATTATGTATTTTTCAACTAACACATAACGACCATAAGGAAGCCACAAAAGTGATTCCGGTAGTGTTTATCAAGTACATACACATATATAAATTGTGTTTTGACCTTTCAATGCAAATAATAGAATGCATGACTGCCGTTAACAGGGTCTAACACTTTGCAAAAAAAAAAAAATAGGAACAAAATTAACTGGTTGAGGGTCTATATAATAAGCACATATGTACATACCTGTATGTACATACGAGTATATTAACTAAATTAAAAATTATTCGAAATACTGAGATTCAAATTCCACCTGTATCCCCATTTATTTCAACAATCATTCGAAGGGAAATATTATATACAATGTAATTTTTTCAAAATATTTGTTATAGAAATGGAAATCATTCCTGAAGGTAAACATTTTCGTTTGGTGCAAGAATCTGAGCTTCCAGAAATTTTGGAGTATTTGGAAAGATATAAACCGGAATCGCTAAAGGTATGTATTTATGTACATAAGTTTACTCCAGAGGTGGGCACTTTTGCATCGTAACTACTAGCAGTAGGGCGTGTTGTTGACAATCGAGCGCTTAACTCGTTTTTCTATAATTCAAATTTGAATAACTAAATTTTCGCTGCTGCATTTATACACTATTTATTTTATTGTTTGCTTGATACGCGCATTCATTTTGAATCAGCTGAATAAAGTTACAACCACAACATCAATATCCTTGGAGGTGTTATTACTACACACACAGCAAGAAAGGGGAGTATGCAAGTAGTCCCGAAAACAGACACCGGTGCCCAACTCTAGTAAGCACATATGTATAGATATGTACTCGTATGTCAACATTTTGTTTGTGTTTTTGTTTTTGAGTTTATTTTTTAAGCGAAATCGAACTAAGTGAATAGTTACGAATCTTTCTTTTTTCAGTTTCATCAAACCATAAAAACGTACCTGAATGATCGTGTTTGGGACTTTTACTTTTACGTTTCTAAGGATTGGCCCGAAAAACCAATAATATTACATTTTCCAGGATGCACGCTTACGGTATGTGAGACTAAAAAAGTTTTTCAAATTAATGCATTCAAAAAATTCTGAGGCTTAATCCACTTTACCATTGGTCATACTTTTCGGAAAGCACCTTTTAGTGTTTTTAACAGCTGTTATTTTGACAATCAAAACGAGATGGAGCACAGAGAGAATAACGACATGTATATTCCTTCATTTCTTGCTCTAAGTGTTTGAGAAATCATTATAATGAGTCTATGTATTGCTTTACTTATATGTATACATGGGGCTTAGTGTATATTGAAATGTGTACGTCCTTATATTCCATGAAATTAGCCCAACAACAATATATATCAAAGCTTTGGCATCTTTTGTCCCTCAACACAAATCGAATGTGTGGATCTGATGCGCACCGAGGATGTCCTTATCGATTGGCAGAAGCCATTGTACCTGAATTTCACTCATATTGCTATCATGAATCGTCTGGATGATTTTTATTCGACTTTCGGTGTAATGGAACGGCTCGAAGGCGACATTTACGTATGTGATAAGTTGAATACGGATTTGGAGTTAGAAGAGTTGAGCGATGATGCAGAAATGCGCCCACTTACTGCTGATGATGTGAAGGGTATTCACGACTTGTATCCGGCCAGCGAGATTGAGCGCATAGAGGTATTCGAAATATTGGTACAGGTTCTGCCTGGACTGGGAATATTTCGCAAGGATACCAATGAATTGGCCGCATGGATGGTGCACTCCTATTATGGCGCAATGTTTTCGATGCAAACACGTCCAGAGTATCGTCGCAAAGGGTAAGCTAAATGAATTATTGCAATTCTATTACAAAAAATGTGTAATTTCACTTTTTTCTTTTTTAAATTAGCTACGGCATACGTCTTGCAAGATCTCTCACAAAGCTTGTAATTGAGCGAGGCTATTCGCCTTTTGTTGTCATACGTCCACAAAATGATGCTTCTAGAAATCTTTATACCAAGTTAGGGTTTAAAAAAGCCTATGAAACTTGTCGAGTCAAAATGACGCCTGGTCTTAAAGAAGAAGACCATGGGGAAGAACAACCGTCAAATCATCAAGCCAAGACCAACGGCGTCGCCAAAGGTGAAGGGCCAACAACGAAGGCAGATGATGATACAGAGGCTAACAAGGAGAATCAGCCAGTCGATGAGGGTATCGAGGACATGTTAGCTGAAAAATGTGATATTGGAAAGGAGGAAATGTCTACCGCCCACGCAAAGGCGGCAATGGACGAGGGTATCGAGGAGGATAAGTAATTGATTGGAAGTATGAGGTGACCTCAACGCTTACCAAAACACATTGAAAACAGATACGGCTTACGGCTAGTGGGGTATAGATATAGAAGAGAATCTAACATAAATTTATTATAAATGCTGTAATGCTAATAATCTCCATTATAATATTATATACATACTTATATATATGAAAATGTAAAGCAACACAATAAGAAAAAGTGCATATGGAGACACTAGCATGACATTAGATAAGTGGATGGAAAACTATGTAATAGAAATTAAAAAAAAATTAAACCGGCAGGAAAAGCGTGCATATTATTGAATTTTTTTAATTATATATGTTCACATGGATTTGGTAATTAGGAGCTAGTGCACTCGCACAAACACATTAATGATGAAAAATACTTAAAATTTTTACTATTATAATTATACAAACACAATGTATACAAATAATGTATGAATCGATAATTATTTTAAACGTTTTTGCTAAAATGCTTTTACAGAAACAACCACAAAAATAAAAATAAAAAAATACGAAAACAAAAGTTTACTAGTTGAAGATGAAATAAGAATGTAATTGTGCGTGTGCACGTAAATAAGTATGTTATGTGTGTACGTACTCGTACATACATTTAAGGCTACTGAAAAATATGCATAATTTGCGATAAGGACTTCCATGCTTCTAAGAACACATCCGTATATATTTACGTACATACATACATATGTACAGACGTGTGTTTATACATTTATTTTATATTTAATTTATGTATGTAAATCTTCTTAATATCTAAAAGGCAGCGAAAGTTAAACAGAAAAATACAGATATTATGTGTATACATACACTACATAACAAAAAGTGCAGATAAACGTTTGAAAGCCTATACCGTTATTAAATGCATATGCATGCATAGGTTACCTATGTAGCTTAAGCCTATTTAAAGGTTTATGCAACGCAAAACGTCAAAAAAAAGAATATTCTTAAAAAAAATTATTTCATTTTCCGCAATGAGCACATGACAATTTCCAAGCACAAGAGTATTAAAACGATTTAAAAATTCATTTTACACTTATAACATATTTTATAAAAGAATTGTATTGCAATGCAAAATATTTAAAATAAATCCTACAACATAATTTAGAACTCTACAAATGTATGTATACAATTTTTTTTTTCAATTTTCAATTCAATTTCATTTACTTGCAAATACATATATGAATTAAAAAAAAAATTACTTTTTGGATAATTCAGTAAGCCGATATACATATTTACTCGGACATATGTACATGTGTTATAACAAACTATTGCATTAATTTAAGGATACTTGGAGTAAGTTGCAATTTGCCATCACATGAGAATTCATTACCGTTGTTCCTAAAAAGAAATTTCGCTCTTTATCAGAAATGGTTTAAAAATTTCTAATTTTTTTTTTAACCTGCACTAGATTTAAATATTACCATTTATCTCATTTGTCTAATGTTTTTTCAACAAATGATGAAATCTACAGTTTATGCTAAGTCGCAATCTTTTCATGTCTTGCCTGAAATACACTCAATGCCGAGGGGCGGATGCTATTATAAAAAATGTCTATTATTTTGGATATTAGTCGGACTGGTACACGAACCCTGGCATTTTCATAAGAAAACGAGAAATCTTTGGTTCGCCCTTGGTAGCGAAATTTTTTCAAATACTTATTTATTTTTATAAAAGGTGTGCTGAAAATTATGTAAGTTAAACTAATTATAACACGATATAACTCCACAATTTTGGGCAGCAGTCGACAGCAATGTTTAGAAAGCATACATCTTTTTTGGAGTCTGGCTTTCTCGTTTAAGTTTAATTTGATTATCACATACGAAGTTAGTAGGATCGTTCGATTATGTTGTGGAAATGCATCAGCCAGCCACCCCTTTACGTATTTTATCATACCGAAATGCGATATAAAGAACGCGCTCATATGAGTATAAATTCCAAAGATGTTTTTCGTTGAATTTTATAGATAGATATGAAATTTGAACAAAAATACCCTCTGAAGGTATCGATGTATGGGCGAGAAAACGTAGGTCAATAAATATTTGATTCGCACATTCGTCTATTGGAAGCAATTCGATCGAAACCAAGTCTGCTTAGATCGATACTTTTAAAACGGCCATCTAGTATTAATTCCGAAATGGCACGTCCAACGGCAGGCGATTGCTGAATACCATGTCCACTAAACCCTGTTGCAATCAGAAGATTTTTATAGAATGTATGTGGTCCCACGATGCCATTCTCATCAAAAGTGTTGTACTCATAATAGCCGGCCCAACTGCCGCAAACTTTGATTGATTCAAAAGCATTGCAGCGTTTAGCCAAAGTTGGCCATATATCCGTTTCAAAAAATTCATGATCCACGTCCAAATTATTAACAGCTGGTTCGGTATGTTGATTCGGACTGCGGCCTGTAATAAAATTGCTACCCATGCCGTCCCGTCTGAAATATGTGCCATCGAGATCAACAGTCAGTGGTGTGCCCGGACCAGGTGCATTCTCGCCTTGTGTGGTGAAAACATATACGAAGCGCTTACGTGGCTCGACTGGGAGCGGTGTCGATAACGTGCCGGAACCGTTACCGATATTCGCCTGTCGGGCAATTTGGCCAGAGCGTGCTCCGGCAGCCAAAACACAAATGTCGAAATCAACGACGCAGGTTTCATTGTTTTTGGCCAGAACTTTTACCGAATTTAGTGTGTCTGAACTCTTTGGTATACCGAAATCGAGGACTTCGCCGTGAAGAAAATGGGCACCAAGTTCTTTTGCTTGACTGCGGAAACCCGCAAGTAGTGCCCATGGGTCAAACCAGCCCTCCTTTTCAAACCCATAACAACCTGAAATGGCAACGATGAAGAGAATGTAAAAGAAAGCATGTCAAATCCTTACCTAATGCTACATCGTCAGTATTAATCCATTGAAATTTTTGTTTCAGTTGCGAAGGTGACAATAGTTCATTCCGCGCGCCCAATTCGTTTTGCAACTTCGAATTTTCTTTTAGAGTTTCAGCACATTTCTCTGAAGCTAGTACTAAATAACCATGCGGGCGAAAACATAAATCCACATCACCTAGATATTTTGTTGAGTTTTGTACAAACTCGGCGCCAAATATGGACATTTGAATATTTTCAGGTAAGGAAAATTGCTGCCGCACTCCACCAACTGACAACACCGTGGAAGCTTCCTTGTACTGTGAGTATACAAAATTAATTAATAAAAAGACTTTTAAAGAAATTATTTACAGTTGGATCTCGTTCGAGGACAATGACACTAAGATCCTTTTTGGCACGCTTTTTCAGCCAATATGCTGTGGACGCGCCCACAGCGCCCCCGCCTATAACCACAACATCACATTTCCTATAGGATTGAATGCTCATCGAACGCTTACTGCACAAGCCTTCTTTACTCTGGAACAACCTGTTGTTCCTTGAAAACGAACGTAGAACTTCCGATGAGACGCCAGTCCGCGTACCAAAGCTGATTATGTGCGCCCACTTTGACATCATGGAAACTTATAATTGTAATGTCTGTAGAAAGATTGACTGTGGCGACAGATAACGTGAAGCTGTTTTGACTAAGTAAAGATGCTAATATCTTATCAGAGCTGTGAATACGACGCAAATCCATACAAACTACGAAACACATCGCAAGCATTTGTATTAATAGAACGCTGTGATAAAAGACTGTAAATATGCCACTTTACTAACTATTTGAAATCTTCAACAATAGTACAATATTTACTCTTTATCACTTCTAAGTGTAAGTGTAAGATATAGCGATGCAAGTCTATTCAATTGCTCAACAAAAAGGTTAAGTTGTTGGAGGTCATTATATTGTATTTTTTAAAGGCAATCAACATATACGAGTACATAAGGCAAGAGGACCGACCCACGGTCTCTGTCTCTTCAAGGAGTTAAGTCAACTGCTGTCTGGACATGTACCAGAGTAGTATACATACGTGTATGCAACATTTTTGATCTGACCCTTTTCCGCCGATTTATTCTGTAGCTCTGTTATCCAAATTTTACTCCATTAATTTTACGTTTTGCCTCAAACTTGGGGTGATCTAGGATCATAACGGATGTGCTAGATACTATAGGGCTACAGAGCACCGAAAAGCTAGAAGTAACATATAACGAATCTACCAGCTGCATCAACTGTTAATAATTATATAATTAAGATAAGTTAAAACTCAGCCAAATAGACAGACTAGTACCATTTTCAGAGAATATCTCAATTTACTACATGCACAGGTGGACGTGGCAATAACTTTGAAATCACATTTATTTTTTTTGATTGAAAGAGATTGCATATTAATATAGTATTTGATCGCATTACTCAAAAAAACAAAGTATTTAAAAAACATCAACATTCCACCACGCTTAACACCACCTCATTTTTATTGTCATATTTCAATTTTTCAACACATTTCCAATTATGTGGCCGACAATGTTGGATTCAATTCGATTTCAACTTCCAACAAAAAAAAAAGAAAATTAATCGTAAACCGGAAACCGCTAACGTATCGAGAATGTCAGTGAAGATGTTTATGCTGCTTCTCGCTTTGCAGTTGCGAATACCGCCATACCGCCGCGCGACATTCGTAAACATTTGATTTCCATAAACGGAAGCAGAGGAAGAAGAAGCTCTACCCTCTGTTGGTTGGTCAGGTGGATGAGGATCAAACTTCACTTGGTGCTACAAAGTGACGCCGATCTACGAAAGTATGCCAAATTAAAGAATAAGAGGAAGAAAACTTCTTTCAACAGTGAAATATATTTGTGAAACTTTTCCGATTCTCTCAGAAGCCCTCTATAAAGCATAGGCTGATCGACGCTTGCCAAATAAATATGGAACTGTTGTCGAAATCAAAAGCGGAATGCTGTTCGAAGTGCAAAAAGTAAGCATCCATTTCCAGAACCATGGTATCATTGGATGTTGGTTTTTTAAAAAATAATATTAATAAACAATAACCTCGCGAATACGTCAAATGTACACCGTCTAGTTCGATAACTGTTCGGTCATTTTGAAACAAAGAAAGCGGGAATGAGATTGTGCTCTCTTTAACTCTAGCTTATCCAGGTTTGACTGTAAGTATATATATATATATGGATATGTATATGTATATACATACAGTCAAACCTGGATAAGCTACAGTTCAAGGGAGGGTTCAAGGGAACACAATCTCATTCTCGCTTATAGAGGTATCTCAATAACCCGATTTTCTCGCTAATGCAGGTAAATGGATAGCGTTTGTCTCTTATAGAGATGCGCAGCAATGACAAGTCAAAAAATTCCGCACTATTTTTTATCCATCAATTGCGTTTGGTTTTCTGTTTTTGTATTTTATTTATCTCATAAATTTCGTCGAATATTGCTTTATCAACAACCGTCGCGTATTCAAAGTACTGATGGACCGTCTCCAACGCTTTTAAAGCTAGCTTCATTGGAATGGTCTTTATTTCTGTTTACGGAATCTGTGTCTTGTCTTCACTGTCATTTCCAGCAATACAGGTGTTCCTACAATACTTATCGATATCGTCGGCGGATTGTTCTCCAGCGGTAGCTACGCCGTTTTCGATTTGAACGAAATCTTCGAAGCTCGGCATTAACATATTGGACTCGTGAGACAGAAGCTTAGTCCATTTCTCGTTGCTAGGTCCAACTTCAACATACTATTTTTCCAAAATCTAGCTTTCTTGAAGTAGTTTTTGACAGAAACGTCATTGACCAAGTATCATGTTTTTCTAGCAAATTTCATAGTTGGAAGTACGTTAATGCCAGGGCATCTGCTTTCTTCCAGACCCGTAAGAATGTGTTTAACGACTTCTCTGGGATAAAAGCGTTTAAAAGTGTGCATGATGCCTTGATCTAATGGTTGAAGTTTTCGAGTGGTGTCAGCAGGTGTTGGTAAGTCCGTATGGACAATACAGTTGTCAACGAACAGCAGAATTTTTTTTCGGCTTATCTTCATTTGTTTGTCAGCTTTTTTCAACCAATCTTTTAATAATATCTTGGTAACCTCTGGGTTGCTTTGGTTTACCGACGAGGAGAAGTGGGAGTTTGTCCGTACTTAGGCACTTGAAAAACAAAGCAGTTTCATCCGCGTTGTAAATAACGTGTGGTGCATACCCTTCTAAAAGATTTTACAGATATTCAGTACAGTGGTTGCACACACCTTGGTTCAGAGTTCACTCTCCTCAGTTGCTTTTTTGAAAGTTATATCATTGCACCTTTTAAAACCTTAGGGAGCCGTTGCTAGCAGAAAGCTTTTGGATTCCACTTTTCGATATTGGGAAATTCAGAAACTCTAGTCCTCTTTATATTTCCATGTCCATAAGAGCACTAAGACTTTGTAGAGTCTTTTGATTTTATAATTTTATTATATGTGGATTCTGGTAAATTTTGTTAATTTAATCACAGTATAAACGTAATTTTCTTTTTAAAAAATGGTAAATGCATACCCAACCCCCATTCTAAATTTCTTGGGCAAGCACAAATCCACATATATATGTAGATCCTTCTGTAAATCTTGGAATAGAACTCCCCTTTCCATGTACATACATACAATCCCAAACAGGAGTGAAGTTATGAAAACAAACTCCCTCGATTAAGAAGCCATACCTATCTTTACAGACAGCTCAAAGTTCGATGAAAAAGCAGGCTCTCAATAATGAGATTGCAGAAATATCAGTTGCTATAGATTCCGATAGTCAAAAAGCTAAATGCAACACTGCCATATTTTGGGTGCCCGGATACTCCAAGTAATTGCACGGCAGACGAGCTAGTGAGAGAAGGAGCCCTTCTCTCCAAAATAAAGCATGTGCAAGATGCAGGTTTTCCCTTCGTCTCCAAAATAAAGCATGTGCAAGATGCAGGTTTTCCCTTCGTCTCCAAAATAAAGCATGTGCAAGATGCAGGTTTTCCCTTCGTCATGACAATGAATGTTGTAAGTCTTGGGCTTTGGCAAAAACGCAAACACTAGATGGCAGAATGGGGTCACGTGAAACGTAGACAGCTACGGCTTCATGGAAAAATAAGCTAAGAAGATTTTATAGAACACTAGCTTTTCTTTGTCTGTCCCGCTGAGCTATCTTCAACGAAAACTAGCAATCTCGTTGCTTTCATAATGTACATGAAATGGTTCGAACTTTTGAGAAAGTGAAGATAAAAGCCTGTCCTATGTGAGTCGGTCGTTGATTAATAGCCGCATCAATTCAACTCAAATCCAAATCGGAACACATTCTTTTATTTGGAAAAGTCACAAACCTTATTTGAAAATTTCCAGCCATACAATTAGGAATTCAAAATAAAATTATCAAAAAATCAAAATGTAAGCAAACATACAAAACATAAACAAACATTTTGACGAGTTTCATTTTTGACATTCGAATCTACAACTACATAGGCTTTTCGTTTTTGCATTCTTGCTACTACGTGTGTAAATTTGCCTTTTTTTATGATAGTGATATGTAGTTATGTACTGTTTATTTTTAATTTGAGTTCAGATATGTACATACATATGTTCGGTATTATATGTATGTGTATATTCCTGAAGTAGCGTACAAAACCGCGTGATGTTTGCCAAATTTTTTGGGGAATAAAAAAAACTGGAACTAATAGTTTCTTACATTTGGGTTTAACTAGTAATATTTTAATAAAAATGTTTCCAAAATTTACGCTAGTTACATACATATGTCTTTTGCTCATTTACATATATTTTATACGCGATATAGGAAAACATTATATTCATACAAGTAAGTTTTACAGAAATTTTGATTAAAAATACATAATTTTATCAAAATTAAGTTGAGCTGGTATATAAAAGTATGTTAACTAAAATTAAAAATATTAAAAAGAGATTTTTAGATGCATAAAATAATTATTCAAAATTCAGGTTCAGATCATCGATTATATATATATTAACTAATGCTCATTATTTCATTGAAGTCACACATACATATAAAAGCAAATTCACAAATTTTGGAAATAACCATTTGTTCGCTAGAAAGTTTTAGAAATAGTTTGTTATTATTTAGAAAATTTTCATATTCAGAAAGAGAAAATCCTATGAAATCACTTAAATGAAACATAAACTCACAAATTATTTGATAAGCTGTACGTTTCTGATTTCTTCCATCATTCTACGAATTTGGTTGTAGAATTTTATGCGTCAGATGGCTTGAAGAAAAGCTTCTGGTGGCAACGCTATCAGTCCCGGCTGTCTAATGAAAGTCGAACAGAACTTGTGAGTCAGCTGTTGCTTTGACTCCAAGAAAATTTGTATTTGCTGGTTTAATAAGCATGTACGTAATTTAGTTTTCCGTAGTATTTCTATTGAAATTAAATTTATACGTGGCGATAAAATGAGTGATAGTGATAGTGACGACTGGTCGGAAGAATGGATTCCCTACAGCCAACGCGCCGAGTGGGCTGATGTAGTGCCTCTGGCACAAGATGATGGCGAGCGACCTATTGTTGCTATTGCTTACAGTCCTAAATGTGAGTTTTATTTGCATATACGTACATACTAAATAAATTTCGCATAAGTGCGGAATACAGACCGTTAAGGTAGAACAAAATGAATTAATGGCCATGGTCTGCCCTGTTTTTACGATTTTATAATATAGTTGAAGGCGAATTGTAAAACGAGATTTGTACACCTATTTTTATAAATTTGGTAAGGTCTGAGATATATTAAAAAATTTTTAGTTATACCCACTTTCCGCGAATATGCTGTTATTTAACCGAATTTACATAAATTAAATGTTTTTTGGGTGGTTTAGCTTATGGATGATAGGACAAAATTTTATGAAAAGATAAATTTTCTTTAAAGATATAGTTCTTTTATTTTTTTGTTACCGTATTTTTTCAAAATTTATCTTCAGAAGGTATTGAGATATGAACATCAAAAAAAGTTGATCAAGTTTTAAAAATTGGGTTTTTTCAAAATATAGCGTTTAATAATTTTCGAAAATCTCCCTGTTGTCTAGATAATAAAAGTTTGCCAAAAAAAAAAAAATATATATATACTTAAAATCAGTAAAACTTTTTTTTCTGCTTGAGGGTCTGTATTCTGCACTTGTTCCATAAATTTAAAAATGCAAGTAGGACTCGATTATAAGACTCAATTTTATTTGCAGTTCGCGAGGTCTTTGATTATTTTCGGGCAATCATAGCTCATAAAGAAAAATCACCACGAGCTTTGGAACTTACCGCAGATGCCCTACAGCTAAACCCTGCAAATTATACGGTATGGCAATATAGACGTGATATACTACGTGCATTGGGTTCAGATCTTTACGAAGAGTTAGATTACTTGGAAGAAGTTATCAGGGACAATGCAAAGAACTATCAAGTTTGGCATCATCGACGTGTTATAGTAGAAATGTTAAATAACCCTTCAAAGGAGTTGGAATTAACCGAGGTGGCGTTAGAACGGGATAATAAGAATTACCACGCTTGGCAACATAGGCAGTGGGCAATAAAAGCATTTGAGTACGTAAACTTTCATTTACGCATATTAAAAAATAATGTTCTAAAATTTTTGTCTTCAGCCTATATGAAAATGAACTAACATTTGTCGATCGTCTAATAGCGGAAGACATTCGAAATAACTCTGCTTGGAACCAGCGATTTTTTGTACTAAAACATTTCGGATTAACCCCTGAAGTAGTGCAGCGAGAGATTCAGTACACAATGAATCGTATTCGCGTTGTAAAAAATAACGAGAGTGCTTGGAATTACTTGGGCGGCATATTGAGGCACGGCGATCATGGTACAGTAAATCGTAATGTCGAGGTCATATCATTTTGTGAAGAATTATACGCTAGTGGAGTTCGATCGCCTTACCTTTTAGCTTTTCTAATCGACTTATATAAAGAGCAATGTTTGCAGCAAACAAATGAAGCTGATGCTGAAGTTCTATCTAAAAAAGTCTATAACCTCTGTAGCGACATGTCTAAAAATCATGATGTTGTCCGTCGTAAATATTGGCAGTATGTTGCAGATCAATTAAAATTAAAATTATCTGAAAAATAACTGCGCTATCTAAAATCTGGATTTGTTTTTAGGCTCTGATTTGTTCAAATTATTCAACATTCTTGTGTATTTGTATATTTATATTTAAACTGTATTATTTTAATATATGAAAAAAATTCAAGAGAACATATTTCAAATAATTATGTACATATGTACATATTTACTTTTCATATACACTTGCCGGAAAAATATATGATACTAATATACTATATATGTACATACATCTTATTCGCATGCGTAAATCAACAGCGTATGTATGCATATAAGATTAAAATGCCTTATCTGCTAATCGTTACGTACTGGGTGTTGCTGCAATAAAAGTTATCTGCAAAGGAAGTGGCTTATTTGGACATGTACACCAGGTGAAATCTGTATAACTTGTTCCAAATCATGAACTTCACTGCAGTAAGAAAGGTACGGCAAGAAATGAAAGCTCACATTCGTTTACAAACATAAAAATTTTTGAAATTTCGAATAATGAATACATATGCACTGAATTTATGGAAAGTAATTTTAAGAACAAAGTAAAAAGGTCTGAAGAGTTCAACTTCTCTAATGAGTTTTTTTTTTTAATTTAATCCTGGCACGCAGAAGGAACATATGTTCGCCTTACTTCGAAAACTTTTCCAATCACTTTTAGATTTTAATTAATTCGCATTGATATACGTTTTCATTCGTACTTTTATTCGTGAACATCATTTAAAACACCATCGAGATTTAAAAAAGGTGCGTGCAGTTTTAGAACCAAAGCAAAAATATATACCTATTTCCACATACCTACTTATGTAAGTATGTAGATGTTTTATAGCACCTGTAGTGCAAAAATTAATTGTGATTAAATATGATACAGTCCATTTCTTTTAACGTCTTCAATTGGACAGAATTTAAAATCGAGGTTTAAATGTTGTGGGATACTGATGGAATCGAGGCCTCAACACGGTATTACCACTCTTGCCATATTCCTTGCCCGCCTGACCCAGAATAACACTATCTACCTTGCCATCTTTCACTCCAGAGTTTGCTTCAATTACATCAACAATGCGTGGATTCTTGCGATATTTGTACCACCAATACTCAAATACCAATGTAATGCACGCCATACCGATTCCAACAAATATAACAATAAAAACTCCGCCAATATTATGTATAGATATGCCGTCGGATTGATCTTCAGGTTTATCGCATTTGGCTTGAGTTTCATCATTCTTCCACCATTTCTCCTTTAGTTTTTCCAATTGCCTTTTGTTGAGAAGGGTCAGAATTCTAAATGAACAAATATCTTTGTTAGTTTTCACTTAGTGATTGAAATTTCCAAAAACAAACTTACGCATTATTGAATTGATCCTTGAGATGTGAGCCCTGTTGGACGGCAATGGCATAGGGTTTGCGTGAGAACTCTTCACCAACAATCTGCAAATCACAGTTTGTCATAACCAAGTAACGAATGTCCGTAGCATCACCAAGAAAGGCAAATCCAGTCGCTGACGTTGAGTTTCGAACTCGTTCAACTGCTTCTTCTAGAGTTGCTGGTAACTGAGCTTCCTGCATGGCTTGCCACATTTTCGTGTACTTATCACTGACCGGGTAATCCCAGACAGCTAGTTTTGATCGCTCCAATGGTGTGAGTGAATCATTTAAAGATAAGTCCTTCCAAATCTCATAAAATCGCTGCTCGATATTAGCCATTCTCTGGAAATATGTCATTGCTGAGGAACCATTGAGTGGTGCATATAAAATCTTATATTGCTTAGCGAGGTCATCCAAAGACTCTACAGGTGTGTCCAGACGAGATACAGTTAAAAAGGCAGCCAAGTTGGCAGTGTACGATGCAATAATGATGAAACTAGTTGAGATAAAGAAATAATGAAAATAATGCTTTTTTAAGGGTGTACAAAATGCCACAATTGATTATACCCGAAGAGCCACCATGTGGCTGCCACCAAGCGGCCGGAAAGATTTTTCGGTGCTTCACCGCCACCTTGAGGTGTCAGAGAAGTCATACAAAACCAAAGACACTCCTTTAGGTTAAACTCTCTTTTCTCATCGTCATCCTTATACTTTTCACGATTGTTCTGGTAGCTATAGGGGCTCCAGCGATCAAAGATCCACATCAAAAAACTAGTAAAGAAGTAAGCAGCTAAAATGCACAGCCATACATTCGTTTCGAGTACCGTTAAAAATTTAAACAAAGAGCTGGGGACTTGTGGCCGCTGCATCATTATTGTGATGCCGACGAGATCATAGTAGGGCACCGTAAAGTCAATAACTATTTCACGCTCAGCCATTACATGCATAGAGCCCAAGCCAATATCCGCCTGTTTATCCATTAACTTTTTCACAATTCCATTCCATTCCCCCTTCTCATCCATGTTGCCAAACTTACCATCTTCGACTTCTTGTATTGTATAGTCAAAATGAACTATATCTGCTATCTCGTTGATCAAATCTATGCAATAACCTTTATATCCCTTCGGTGCTTTGTCGTCTTTAATAATAAATGGAGCTTGCTGTTAGGTACTCAGAAAATTTGTAAAAAATAGATAGATAGGAAGAAAGATAGATATATAGGGAGGCAAAAAGAGGGAGAGAGATCCGTTAAAAGGTGTTCCCATTTTGGCCAGATGAGGACGTATTGTCAAATTTAAGCCAAAGCTTTTTACAAGTAATTGTCAATAAAAAAGAGATAACTTACAACAACAGTGAAGATGCGATAGACGGTATCAGCGGTAAGATTTTTCATTATTTCCTCATCCTTAACAACCAACGGAGAGTCCAAACCGGCGGTCCAAGTTCCTATGGACTTTGTGTTCACAGAGTTGCCACCACGGATTTGGAGCACATTAATGTCCATTTCAAACTTCATATAGCTATAACCGTTAAATGGTTTGCCCGGCTGCGTAACTAATTCGAATAGACCATAAGAGGTGGGCTCCTGAATCTACATTGTCCATGAAAGGCAGCAAGTATAAAGTTTAATTATAGAACAGAGAATCCATTAAAAAGTTATGAGTTTCCATTAAGTTTTATTGCAAAATATTATGAATTATTATAACTTACCATAGAGAAAGCAGATCTGAGGTCAATGTTACGCTCGGGAGTATTACCACCTTGGAATTCATCGCAACCAATATACTGCATGTTTTTCGGCCATGCACCCGATTGCAGCATATCCCTTAGTTTTTATTCAAAAAAATTTGTATTAATTAAAATGTATAATTAAAAAAATTATTTCAAATCAAATCAGTACTTGATGGCCAAAAATGTGCGAAGGGCCAAATCAAAATAGAAAGCTGACATTATCTGCGGCTCTTCGTTCAGGTTAAAAGTGGTCTTAAGACGTCCAAAGCGATCACGATTTTGCGCATATGACATTGGTTTCAAGAACATTATGGTGGCGTTATCCCGTTGACTGCTCACTTCGCCCTCGCTCTGAGTTATGGCGTGCCAAGCAAAGTTGCGTTCGAAATATGACGGTTTTACCGATTCTGAGGGAATTATTGAAATTTTTAATTCGAAATGCTTGTGCTTGTACTTGTGCATAGAAAAAATCATCAATCTTTTCTTACCTAAAACCATACGTATGGACATGAGATTACCCAATATGAAGAAATTATTTATATCCAAGTTACGCAACTTCTCAATTTGCTCTTCACGTTCTCGCTTCCCCTCCTTAGCAATGCCTGTAATGACATGTCGGGTTTGTATATTTTGCAGCAATGACTTGTATTTGTGATCCATGACGAACGTATCATCATATAGAATGGCTGCATTTGTTATATTCATTTTACGCACAATGCTGCGTACAACTTCGGGTATAAGATCCGCCGGCGGCATTACTTGCAGTAAATATTTTTGTTTATTCTCATCTATATCCCGCCATTGACGCAAATCGCCCTCCTGTCCGTATGAGGCACTTATGGTCGGCAGGCCGAGAGCCTGCGTAAAAGACTTGACTGTCTCCGAGGCTATTCCCGATTTTGTAGCATCGAATACGACATGTGGCGGTTGCTTACGGTCAATGCTTTCCGCGTATTTCGAACAAACTGGATAAAAATTTTAAAAATGGTATATTTAAGTAAATAGAATACAAATGTTATTTGGCAATCGGATTAGTCAAAGCAGAGGTCGACGATACTTACTTGACTCCAAAAGTGTTTTAGCATCGGTTTTATTTGCTTCGACTTGGTCAACTTGAATTGAGATACCATAACTGGGATTTTTCTTAAGGTACGTAGACACTACTGTAACTGCTTTGCTTGCCGGTTCGTTGTCAGCATCGTTTATGAAAACTAAAAGGTAAGAGAATGACATTAATAGAAATAATTAAGTTTAACTGAAAGCTAATACTCTCAGAAGTTTAAATGTATATTAATAATATTTAAACAAATTAATAAATAAGTAATTTAATCAACTAATGGAGTAAAATACAATATAAGCAATAATCGTTTCAAACAAAGGGAGCATAAATTATTATTTTTTCCAAAAAATATTCTTTATCGGAAACATGAGTACATACACGTATGCATCTGTAAAGGGCAATTTTTCATTACAAGTCGGAGAGGTTACTCATACGCCCCAACAGTCGGACATTATTCATGGCTCACCTGCGGTATTAACATTCTTCAATTATAATTAGAATCGTACTTTCTAATTTGAGCAAATATGGAGTTTAAATTATATTTACATATGTATATACATATATATATATATATAGGGAAATATCGATTGAAGCGAATTTAATGACTTAGTAGTTTACTAAACTATTTGCCTCTACTTAAGCATACATTCAGTGAGCTATTACTACATATATGTACAAATACATATTCATATATATGTACATATGTACATGTCGGAATGCTTGTTTATTGAGGTAATTATATTTAATGATACTATGTAATCATATATTTTTAATCGACAATTGTCACTTCAACGCATGTAAATATTTAATAATAAAATCGGAATTTGCTTAAAAATATGACTAAAAACGGTAAAAAGTAGGATATACACACATATATTGAGGTGCACTGCTTAATTTTAGCGTCTATTAATATACATATATACATAGATATATAAGCCCACATTGATATATTAGCTAATGTATATATCTTTTTATGCTTATTTAATACTTACACACATTGATATTTTGATTTGTTTGGGCAGTAGCAAAACTTCCCAGCAAAATTATTTTCAAAAATATAAAAAATATGAAAATATTACGACAAGATTTTGTATATGCGTATTGCATTGTGGACAGAATATTACAGTATGTTACATATGAATCAGTTGAATTGAAATTTAAACATTGAACACCTGAAAACTAACCGCACAGACGAAAGGATAAAATCGAACTATTTGTTCCCTGCAATGAATGACTGGACGTTACGTTCAATGTTTAGTCAAAGCGCAGTTAGTATTGTACCAACAAATTATTTCTTTTTTGTTTTGTTACTGAATATTTTATTAACTAAAACATTTGTACATACATAAGTATGCAAGTGTGTTTGCGTATGCACACATGACAATACTTTATTTGTGCGTGCATATGTCCATACTTGTACCCAGTAGTAAACGAGAGTAAGAGAATTAGTAAAAGAAGTTGTTAACGTTCTCAGGAAATATGTGAAAATAATTATAATAATTGACAACCGTTAGTCTTGCAGCAAGGTCATCAAGTCATATACCGAGGGACTTTCGCTTCGTTGTTGGCAACACGACCCTTTCGCAAGTACCATTGTACCGCCTCCTAAGTGGGAAAACTTAACGTTTATTTCCCATTTGACTGACCAACTCATTTCTTTTATAAATAAATAACTTATATAACTTATAAAGGTGTATGTACGTATGAAGAAGAGCATTCCTGGTTCTTACTAAGCACGTGGTCAAATTAGTATCGTAACAAGGGGAGAGGGTCAAATAAGAAACGCAGGTGTCCTTCTTATCGGGTAACAAAGGATTTCATGTTTAAAAATTGGTGGAAGTTCTTTCTGCATGTAAGCACAATTGCGACATATCTATTTTTTTTTAAAGGAGATAGTTTCAAATGATATCGATTCTAATAAAAATAAATTTTGAAAAATTTAACAACATTTTAAATCTATAAATATGCTAAATATAAAACATTATTTTTTGATAAAATAAATAATTCATTGAATTTTGAGCATTCAGTTTGCAGTATTTCAAAACAATAGTAAAAAGTTGCCTTTTGCCACGCCGATGTTTTTATACCTCCCCAATCTCTGGTATTCAAGTTTTGTTATATATTAATTCTGAAAGTACATATATGAAAAAATGGTGTTTGAGTTCGATTGGGATGATTGATGATTGATGTCAATGTGTATTTTGTTTATAAATGTTTGTAGAAAATTTTTGGTGGATTTTTTGGCCTAAAATTTCATATCTCAACAGTCGGTTGTTGGGGTGCTATATGATATAGACCTTCGGCTTGGATGATTTTCTGCAAAACTGTATAATCCATCATATGAATGCAAAACACCAAAAATCGGTCGTATACATACTATAGAGACCCGATCCGTGCAAATGTTTGCTAGAGATATCGCAAAAACTGAGGGATTATTTTGCTTACAAACAACCGAAGCGACGGATCTGACTAGATCAACTAAACTCCTAATTTCACCCCGGTCGGTACTCTTTGGTACTAACATAATTTGAAACAAAGTTAATATATCTGGTTATGTGTATTAACATATCGGGCTATCCATTTTGTGGCTTCAAAACTTAACGTGAAAAAATCCATGTAAAATAATATTATATTTTGTGTGGGAATTCATTTTATTGCAAAGTTTGAACAAGAACACCACATCATTCAAATGAACACCTCATGAATTTTTGCAGATTTCGATCCATTTGATAATATTTTCGACGACTTTTTGGCACATATTGGCATATCTCAGCCATATCTTGACGAATGTGCGTTTTCACGAACACTCAAATCACACACTATCGGTAGTCAACTAACATCGCCAGGACGAGAGATTACGCAGCTCAGAATTTTCTTATTTACGTATCCCCCGTCCCTGAAGAATGTTTGGATAGATCAAAATTGTGAGGAATAGGCCTTAGAATATCTGTAACAGAACCAGTCTACTCAAATTTCTTTCAAATTTTACAAATTGCTTGAGTAGTTCAACGATTTGTTGCACCATAATCTCCTCATAAAGTTGAGTTTCACAGATGCCAAAATACAGCCCTGTACTTTTGAAACCACGAAATGGATAGCCCTATATAATATACATATATAAATTTGGAAATTTTATAGCAGAGACGCAAGCCTTTTACTGCGTTACCCACATTATTGTGAACAAGCCTCTAAGCAGTTGAACGTAACGGAAACGGAAATCTCAAATCTACAGTTAAGAAATCAACTGATCTAGCGGTGAAGTTCCTTTGAATATGCATAAGTACACACTCATATTGCATATAACTTTGTGTTGTCAATAAACAATTAACAAGATAAATAAAAAATAATGAATAAACATGACAAAGTATATGTTATTGTAGTATGTAGCCCAACGATAAAACCGTCAAAATCTATTATCGCAAACTTTTTACTCGCACTGGGGTTCCCGACGTGATAACGAATTCGTGATTAGAAATTTATCTCGTAGCTTTATTTAAAATTTTTAATCAAAAGTATATACAAAAAAGCTTTGTAGTGGTCCGAATAATAAAAAACTCCACAAGCAAAACAATAAAAATAACATAAACAAAGAATCATGACAATGACTCTGCACTGCCGCTATTATATGTATAAGCAAAGCAAAGCATATACATGCTATGTCAGCAAACATATGGTTGCTGAGCAGAACCGCGGAACCCGAGAACTCAATAATCAACAATGAGAGCTCATGTAGTTTGTATTGATTCACATTTCGGCTAACTGAACAGTATGCCTAATAATTAGCAGAGGTGCAAGCTGCTGTTGAAATATTGATTGCAACAAGGTGCAATTGGTATCCTTATGAGGATAGAGAAAAACGCATTCTTATCAACATCGAGCCCATTGCAGCTTATTGCTATCGGCGACTGAATGATGCTAGCTCAAAACATATACTTCCATATATAAGTATGTACTATAAATAGGTATGTACTTATATTTGTTTATTTCAAATATTATTAAACCTATCCTCATCTACGTAAATCATCATGCATGCGAATAAATGCTACAAAAAACACTTAATACGTTGTCGTTCTTATCAATAACTCACTCATTGTCAAATGCGTTCAAATAGATACATGTATGAATATAGATGTGTGTGTGTACAGCTTTATTGGAGACGTTTTGATTTAGTCAACCCGACTTGGAGTGCATCAGAATTTGGCGAAAACCACCATTTGCTGCTACCTAAACAGAAAATAACAATATGTACACATATACATGGATATGTGTGTTTGTACGCCATAATAAATATTGGACTGAGGTGATATGGGTATGCGGGTGCTTTAGAATTTTCGATTTTCTTTAAAAAGCATTTGCCAAAGCGTTGATACGTTTTTGCTTCAGTATTCTAAGCGCTGTCGTCCAGCGTAGTTCATTTAGATTCAACCAATTGAACTAAATTGTGATAGTGACACTCATACCGGTACATACAAAAATAAGGTACTACTAACACAACAAAATAGTTTGCACCGAATATTTTGCACAAAAGAGAACTGCATTTGATTAGTGGCCGCCTATTTAAGTATACATAGCTATAGTTCTGATACATATGTATGTGTTATAAAATAATGAATTTTCGGTTGGGGAGATATGAGGACGAGTTGATCGTGTTCTCAGTGTAATATTTTAAATTAACTTTCGGTGGGAGCGCACTAATATTGCAGTAACAACAAGCCCAACGAATACCCTTCACCCGTCCAACCGAGAGGCGACATCCGTTAAACGTACGGAATATGTCGAGATTTAAAATTGTTCGCCAACCGAAAAAAAGAATTGCCCCCCAACTGAAATTTAGTAAATAAAGAATTGTAAGATTTAATTGTTGAGAGAAGCAATAACAGTTTTTTGATACATTTTTAGCTCTTAAGACTTTGGTATTGATATGAAGATGGAAGCTGAGCTTAGGGTCCATCATAACACCCATATCAACAAAGTTGTACACTTGTTCTAGACTACAGTTATTAGTTGTATAATGAGAAGGTTGAAAAGGCTAGCGAGAAGCAAATGCTCTTACACTCTTAAGGTACTAAGGCGTGTCGTTGTTATCACACCAGATAGCTCAATTGTCTACATACACGTAGGTCGTTTTGTAACAAACGTCTTTCGTCGAATGAATAACTCATACATAAAAGGTTTTACATCATGGGCAAATAACAAGATATTTGAATGCTTTATTACTGAAGATATATCATTTATGACAAAATAGAAACAGAATCGGGCCGAGACGGCTCCTTGAGGAGCTCCTAAAGAGACATTCATTAATTGTGATCAAGTGTCTTTAAATGCTAACATTGTGTTCTATGACAGAAATACGAGGAAACCCATTGGAGAAATTTTGGTTGAAAGCCCAGAATATCTAGTTTGTGAATAAGAATTGATTGATTAACCCTGTAGAATAACTTACTGATATTGGTGTAGATAACGTCAGTTTGCTCATTAGATACATATGAGATATGTGACATTAATTCAAGCAAATTTGTAAGTGTTGAATAGCAATTCTTTTAAATTGTTGGCCTGTTTCGAGCGGTGGAATTGAAAAGCAATTTTCTAGTGCTGTTGTCGTAGAATAAATATTAAACGTTTTTTAGATTTGCCACAAGGTATTCAATGCACTTAAATATTGATCACAAGTTGATTGTAATTTCAGTTTTTGACTCCGTTGGAAATTAATTTGTAATCTTATCAGATATTCAAATTGTGTAGTTTCTAACCGTCAACAATAGCTTGAATTTTAAGTGTGTACATGCATACATATCTTGTTTTTAACTCATCAATGAGGATTTAATCATTGGAGTTGTCTGTTTTGATATCATAAACAGGGTGTTCAGGGAACCAAAACTCAATAAACCATACATATTGACGCAATTGCAATCTATATTTCTACCCTGCAAGCAACTCGACTTCTCCAGTACGAATGAAATACATATATATATATGTACTCCACCTCTGCATAACATCCGAGTAATCCATGAAGATATGCAGCGGGATAATTATGGAAAATTGTATATATAAAAAGTAACATTCGAGCATTTGTTTATTAAAGTATACAATACGCTCTGGTGAAAAGTCAAAAAAAAAAAAAATAACCAAATATATTTCATACATTTATTTATATCTATGTATAAAGATTATAGCTTCCAACATAAATATTATAAGCCAGTCTTCAATAAATATATGTACATGTGGCGTCCGCAGTAGCCGAGTGGTTAGCACAGCGTAATGCTATTAAGCAGGCCAGGGTTCGACTCTGAGTTCGTTCGACTAAAAAACTAAAAAAACTTATGATTGCGGTCGCCTCGTGGGTAGTAGCAAGATCTCGGTTTCTCTCTCGTTTTAGCTTGATATGGCGAATTTATTTAAACACTTGGGAAGTCTAATTAAACATGGGATATATACAAACATATGTTCATATTCTTCGGAGTATTCGTGATAAGTGCGGTCGAACAAACATCCAAAAAAAGTTGTAGAAAATTAATTTAAATAAAAAATGAAGCTGAATTTTCTAATTTTCAAGACGCAAAACCACATGATGGAGGAGGAGCTCGGCCGAAAACCGCTTCAGAGGTTACAAAGCGCCAATTATATATACATTATATTTGTTATAAGATCGTACGGATCGGACACATAAATAGAGACTGTGCAAATTCATCTCTTCGTACAAATAACACAACGTAATTTTAAATTGCTCTCAATCGCTCTACAAAAGAAAAAATCGCTTCAAAAATTGCGAATGCTGCACGTGCAAGAATGCAGAATGAGTGTAGTCCCACAGTGCAATTTTTGCATCTACATTCAAATGCACATGTATATATATATGCATACTGAAAAGTCAAATCAGTTATGAGATTGATAATACTATCATATCAAATTTTGTAAATGATAACGTTTGTGTATACATACTCAAATATTCATAATTAATTAATACGAATTAATTATATAGTCGCGTCGCGAATTGAATTTTTAATAACTTACTATGATTGTATAGAAAAATAAACTCCATAAAACCACTTATAGTAAGTAGGTAAGCACTTGCATGCATACATATTTGTAAGCAAATCTAAATGAAGCCATCATTCACAATATCATAAATTACTTTCCATATTATTCGTTAACTCAATTACGTGTTTTGCCTCCGAAAATCGCTTTTGTTGTGAGATTCCATACACGAATTTGGTAGCCAATTCCAAGGTTTGTCTGACCAGTAACTCCTTACCCATATGTTATTGGCTTTAGTAGAAATGTCAGATGAACCTTACTGAAATTGTGCAAAGAATAAAGAGAGACCACTTCAATTCGGGAAAGTAACTTAATTTTTTATTTAAATTAATTTTGCATATTGTATATGGATATTGCTCGGACCAACACTCCCAGTTAAATTTTATTATTATGAAATGACAAGCAAGTAAATATTTCGTTTTTTCTTCCTAGATTATGTCAGTTCCTGAAATCGTAGATCTTAAAAGTGTGGTGGACCCACATCTGAACGGCGGCGAACTACAAGCATATACTGCTCGATATCTCACGAAACCTGGTGACAATTACGGTAGCTGCATGCTGGCGGTTGCCGCTAGAATTAAGCAACCAAATGCACTCATTGAAGAGTTACCTTTAATTGCGAAACTTCCACCTGTGACCAACGAATTATTTTGGCAAATATTTCAACCAGAGCGCACATGTATTACAGAGAACAAAATGTATGAAATTGTAGTTCCAGAAATACATCGACTGCAGCTCGATGCTGGTTTGTCTAAGGATAAACTCTTCACTGCTCTACCAAAGTACTATGGCAGCCGCATATCACTGGACCCCAATGCCACTAAAGTCGACCGTGATGCTGTGCTCGTGCAGGAGAATCTCCAGGTTTCTGGCTACAGAGCTGGCAACCGACATCAAATGTTCGATTTCGTCCACGCGAAGCTTGTGTTGGAATGTATGGCGCAATATCACGCCTTGCCCATTGCCTTACGTATTAGAAAACCAAAAGTCTTTGCGGAGAAGATACGACCACATTTTAACCGTTTCAATATGAATACCTCAATGGGTGACCAAATGAAAGAAGACATGCGTAAAGTAAGTTGATGAATATGAACTTAAACTCCTGATTAATTGAACACAGAATAATTGAAGACTTCTTCCATAGGAAATAAGAGAAGATTTGGAATTAGTTACTAACAATAATGATGATGAGATTGGGGATATTTTAGAAAAGTTCCAACAGTACGATGCATGGTTGGAACAGCCAGAAGCTGCTGATGGGTTATACACCAGTTTGGTCCATTGCGATTTGTGGATTAACAATATTATGTTTAAATATGGTACGCATTTGCATGCAGCGGAACTTTCGGCTTTTAAAAAATTAAATTTTTATTTTTAAATCCGCAGATGATCAGAATCAGCCAACTACATTAAAATTTGTGGATTTCCAAATAGCGCAATATGAGTCCTTTGTGCACGACATTATTTTCTTTCTATTCTCTAGTGTCGATGCTAATGTATTGGAGGATAATTTCGAAAACTTGTTGGAAGCCTACTACGATGCATTCATTCACAATTTAAAAGAAGTGCAAGTTCCAACAGATGACTACTCCTATGAAGGGTGGGTATTGCTTCGCTAAATTCAAACAAACGAATGAAAGATCTGAATAACTTCTTTTCAACAGATTCGTGAATGAAGTGCGACGTGTTGGTCCTATAGAAATTTCACATCCGTTATTTATGACAAAGGTAATTTTGGCCGATAACAGTACACTTCCCGAAGATTTTAAAGATATGGATATGTCTATCTTAAGCAAAAATCGTGGTCTCAAGACGATTACCAAGCGAATGAGCGATATTTTGCGAGTGGCGAAGAAGTTTAAGCTAATTTGAAATCGTTAACTAAATTTCTGAGTATTTACGCACAATTATGGAAATAGGAAATTGTATTGATTGCGAGTAAATCTTAAAATAATTTAATTAAGTTATCTAGGGAGAATGGAACTAGACTGGCTTCAAGTAATCTGGCAATAATTAGGGAGAAGGCGATGCAGTTGAATATTTTCAATACGATCCTTAAACGGCCGGAAACATCTGGTCTGGTTAAGCGAAGCAATATGGTGTATCCAACTGTGGTAAACCATATTTCGTTCACCACAATCTAATAGAGAACACATAACCTATGTATATATAAATATAGTTAAAAAATTGCTTAAAGATTGAAGAAGCTTGACTTTAAGCCGATCAACGTATTTAAAAAAATCGTAGAACTTTTGGTTTTGGTTATGTTTTGGTTTTTTAGGGGAATTATTTGATTAACTACTTCTATAAAAAGATTAAACCTGTTGGTACACGTCGTGCAATTAACTATGCAGAACAAACCGTTTTTGTTCATATATTCTTTGGTTGACTAGGTCATCCGATAAGAGAATTTATAATAATTATCATGTTATCAACCTTGTGGTCGCCTAAAAGTATGCTTCGGTTTATATCCCTTTTTTAACTTTCTTTGTTCAAACTTTAAAGCAGAGATTGTTAATATAATTAATATAATTCTCTGGGAATATTAATTAAATCTAAGTAATTAAAATGCCTAAAAGAAGTATTTACAAACAAAGGAAGGAAAGTGTAAAGCACATAAAAAATAAAATATTAAATTATAGCCATTGTTATGCGCGGAATGCTGGAATGCATTAGAATTGAATAAGAAAAAGAATAAATAGTTTGATTTAGTAAAATTGCACACGTTAAATGTTGTCTTCATTCAGAAATTAAAATAATAGTGTATAATAAGGTTCGTACTCATAAAATGATTTATTTTGCTGATAAATAAGCCCGTATGTTTGCCTAAATAAATTCTTTGTGTACTCCCATGTGCTTAGGGACTCGCTTCGCGAGGTTATTAATTAATACTAGATACACACATACATACATATTAAACAGTTAATTGCTAAGATACTGTGTAAAAAAACAATAGACGACAGAATTATGAATTTGTTGATCTCAATTACTTAAGTGATAAGTAAGGAACAGTGTTATAATTGGACATACTTAAATATACATATATACATGCATGTACATTTGCGCGAATGCCTACACACACATTAATTGCTCATGCATCTATTGAAGTACTTGACTATTGAAACATTCATAAACGATCCACTGGCCTCATACATACATATGTGTGTATTTATTTACAAAGAAGTATCTATTAATGCCGAATATTTTTTACTTTTTATTTTCTGTTTATTGTGCTACCCGAGCAAGTATGTAAGTATGTATGTACATGAAAACGCTTGAAAATTTATTTATCTAATCGCAAATATTTAGAACCGTTATTAATGAATATTAGATTCATTTGCATAGAAATACCAATGTCATTTATGGATGTACATGTACATAATTGTGTGCATGAATGTAGTTATGTATACACCCAGAAAACTTTCCCTGCAAAAAAGGCGAGTGCTTCCTGTAAGCACGAAGTATATACTCCATGCGGACAATAGAATACTCCAAAACTAACCATAATCCATTCAAAATAAATGATTAACAATGTAACGTCCTAGGCCTGGACCATATTCTTCACCTCTGCATCCGAGTACTCCATGGAGTACCTACCGGAAATTAGTTTTAAAACAATTCCGCAAAGATACTCACCAAGTAACTGCAGACAACTACATTATGTAGTATCTACTAAAATTTTCATTTGTATATACCTTTTAATATTGAATACAATCCGCTGTAGCGCAAAGTTAGTAAACACATTTGTACATTTGTCAACAACAAGAAGTCGAGTGGGCTTACGCTACACTACCGGAGAGTAGTCTAATAGATACTTCAATGAACCATATTGTCTAATGGTTTTATAGGTGTGTATGCATAGAATATTTTATACAGAGAAGTAGCAAACCATAAAATCTGATTGGAAACCATAGTACTACATTTGTAACTTCAATGACCTCTTTAGTTCTTAGATTTTCAGACATTTCCCTTGCTTTACATCGCAAGTAAATTTGCATAAGTATGTATGCTTGTGTGAGATACATATATTGTTATATAAATATTTGTATATGCATGTATGTATGCATGTGCATGACTCAAACTTAAAAAAGATAAAGCTAAGTATTAGCCTCAGATTAAAAGTGCACGATCAGAGCGAGTTGAAATGTTGGTAACGTTTGATTATTTAATAATCAAAAACGGTCCATCAATGCTTCATTTGGTGTCATAATTGATATATTTATTTCATTTCCACTTTCAAATGTAACTTCTTCACGAGCGTTGGACTTGAGAAGAAAACTGTTGAAGGAGTAACTGAAAGGTGCGATGGGGAAATGCGACCGGACGTTGAGAAAGGATATTACGTTGGAAAAGACTGAAAGAGAGGGAGTTGTGTGCGTAAATCTGGTAACCAGTGCATACCTATGTATGTATTTCATTTCGTTATACAATTTTTACTCAGACTACTTTCCATTTACGACTGAGCAGGTATTCATGGCTCTGGGAGCGTATCACAAAACACGGAACAACAGTCGACGCAGGTTTCTCCAGATATGCTTCCAATATGCTTTTCAAAACATTCATTTCTTATTTTTGCTATCAGTTTTAAATCAGTAGTCACTAAGGTATCACAAGCTCCCTCCAGTTTTTGATTGAGATACTTGAGTGAGATACTTAATATTAACGTCTAATAAATCTAATTAATTGATTTGTAATAAATGTTGTATCTGCATTCTTCTTAAGAGCGCTCCATTCATTCCTTCTTTTCCCTGTTTGGTGTCAATTGGAAATACCAATTGCAGTCAGGCCCTTTTTTATGTGATCTTTCCAATTGAGTGGAGGTCTTCCTCTACTTATATCACCTTTCAAAGCTGGAGTGTTTTAAGTCATCCGGGCGATATGACCTACCCAGCGATGCCGTTGTCCTTTTATTGAACTATGTATATGTCACCGTATAACCTGTACAGCTTATTGTTATATCGACAGTTAACTATAAGACCCATTCCATATTCGTCATTATAAGGAACTCCATCGAAATGAATAGCATACTTATGTATGTACATATATGTATATGACTTCTAATTTTCGTATGCAAGTAAATATCAAACTTTTTTGAACCGGTTCTCAATGGTTGTATTTCGTTGATATTTTATATAATGATTTTGTTTTATTAAAAAATTAACAAAGAACAATCTGTTGTGGTCATTAATGGCAGATGTGACCGTGAATATAAAAAAAGTTAAACATTGCGATAACAGAGGTGAATATACGCAATTACAAATTTGTTCATATACTCGTATAAGTACGCGTTGCGGCTGCAGAAGTCGAGAGATTTGCAGTGCTCCTACCATACTGAGAGCTTTTGTGGTAATTATTCATCTTGGCCCTTAGTGTGCAAACAGGTGGGGAGTCGCTCCCAATAGGACGCACCCAGATGTTTGTTAATGCTGAAAATAAAAAGAAAATCGATATGTGATTTATTAAATGTTGACTTGGTGTAATTTATAATATTTATTCAATATTTATATTTAAACAAGAAAGAGGGTAATTACCTCTAGTGATTTAGATGTTGGCCGTAAGCAGACCGTTTTCCTTCATGTAATAAAAGAGAGTAATATTAACCGCATATAAAATATTACCAGAACAACGAAAAGCTTTATGCAAATTCAGTTACGAATACTAGAGTGGTCGATAATATTGGGTACTGGATTAAACACTTGGCAGGGATATGAAAAAAATGATATTTGTTGGAAAACATCAAAAGTGCATGAACACCCTTTGGAGAAAAAAAAAAATAAACGTTATAAAAAAACTTTAAATCATCATCGAAAAGAAACGAATCAAACCATATCACTCTATTCTCAGGGATGATATGTGATTAGCTTGAGAGAGAGTACGGTTAATGTTAATCTAGATAAAAAAACCAACAATGTACCAAATTTCGAGCAGATAGAACTCACTTCCTCGCCCATTTTCGGCTGTTCTGTTACTTGAGCATGGACCGGGGTACCCAGCTTCCGTTGGCCTTGTAGCATTCTTTAGCAAACTTTGGGTGAATGTGTAATGCAGTGTTATACTCTTCATTGAAAGTAGAACCTCTACTCTTGTAGTTTCGGGTTTCCAAACGGAGCTGGTGAACGGGCCAAACAAACAACAACTGACGCAGTACTTGTGTGATAATTCATTGAAATGCACTTTTATAAATTCCGTATGCAACGTGCTTATATGCGAGTTTCCAGTCTCGCTTTGAGTAGGTGAAAGTACGTTGGGACATGCGATGAATAAGGTCGGTCTGATATCGGGCTGGCGCTTCGACTACTGTTTTGCGAGCTCATGGTGATTGCTGGACTGTGTCCTCGAGGGTTTGTTGCTCTTGTATTGTGGGTACAAGGATACTGTAACTATGAATAAAATATTAAATAAAGGGTAGAGTCACGAATTTTATAATTGGGCGGGTTATAATGCCTTGTGTGGTTCGTTTGTCGACTACTCTGGTATTTATTCGCGCTAAAAGTTAAAAACTGATTGACTTATTTGCTCAATTCGCTATATTTTACAATTTTTCTTCGATCAAGGCGGAAAAGGAGCCAAAGCGGCTGAAAAAATTAATTTAATTTATGGGCCCGATACTGTAAACGAACGTGTAGCACAAAAGTGGTTTGCTAGGTTCCGTTCCGGTTATTTCGATGTCAAAGATGCACCACGCGTCGGGAGACCTGTCGTCGAAAATTGCGATAAAATCATGGAAATAGTGGGAACAGACCGTCAGAAAAGCCAGAAAACCGTTTGGAACCATTTGCACAACTTTGGATTCAAAAAGAAGCTCCAACGCAAAAAAAAATGATGGACCGAATTTCCAACTGCGAATCGCTGGTGAATCGGAATAGAATCGACCCATTTCTGAAGCGGATTGTGACTGGCGATGAAATATGGGTCACTTACGACAACATCCAGCGCAAACTGTCGTGGTCAAAGCTCAGGGAACCGCTTGCAGGCAGCACTCATCCAGAAGAGGTCATCTTTAATCAACAGAGGCCGAATCGTGTTCCATTAGGCCAACGCCAGGCCACACACGTCTTTGGTGACGCGCGAGAAGTTTCCGGAACCCCAAACGCGCGAACGCGCTCAATGGAGACAAGTTGGCTCTCCGTTTTTATTTTATTTTACTTAAATCGGACAAATGTACTCAAAGTTATCATGTTTTGAAAAATCAAGAAAAAAACCGAACGAACTTTATACACGACCAATATATATGTATATATGCAGATAATGATTACGGCTCCTGCTTCTTATTTTTAGTCTTGAACTTTCCATGATTTATCCAAAAAGACAAACATGTTTATTTGCTTATATACGTGTACATACAACTCGGCAACCAATCATATGCATACATACGTATATTATATATGCTTCATTCGGTTAACATGTATTTATCAGAGATATTTATAATATTAAGCGTCGGTTGAATGGGGCGCAAACTATTATCTTAATATGAGTTCTCTGTTGGAAAATACATACCTATCTATGTATGTCTGTAAGTTACAAGGCAGTTCAAAAGGAATATAGAATTTTGAAAAGATTAAAATCTGTGGGACCCAACCCTATAATTAGATGGCGGTCGTCCAACAGAACTTCAAAATAAATGAAATTAAAATTTAAACAGATCCACATATATGTATACGTATAAACATATATTTATATCTGAATTTACATATGTACATTTATGTATATCTAAGATGATAT